AAGTCTAGGGGCATTGTTAGGGGGTGGCCTGGGAGTACACAGCACATAGTTAAACTATGGAATTCACTCCCAAGGAGGCAGTGATGGCCACAAACCTGGATGGCTTTAAAATAGGATTGGACAAATTCATGGAGGAGAGGGTGACTGATGGCTACTAGCCATGATGGTTATGCTCTGCCTCCACAGCTGGAAGCAGTGCATGCTTCCAAATAGCAGTTGCTGGAAACCACAGGGGGGGGCAGTGCTCTTGTGCTCATGTTCTGCTTACTGGTGTCTCACAGAGCCAGTGTGGTGTAGTGGTTAAGAGCAGTGGACTCGTAATCTTGTGAACTGGGTTCAATTCCCCGCTCATCCACATGCAGCTGCTGCTTGGGCTAGTCACACTTCTCTGAAGTCTCTCAGCCTCACTCACCTCACAGAGTGTTCGTTGTGGGGAAGGAAGGGAAGGAGATTGTTAGCCACTTTGAGACTCCTTAGGGTAGTGATAAAGCGGGATATCAAATCCAAACTCCTCCTCCTCCTCTTCTTCTTCACCACAGGCTTCTGGCTGGCCACTGAGAGAACAGGATGCTGGACTAGATGGGCCACTGGCTTGATCCAGCAGGCTATTCTTTTGTTTTGCAGACCGAACAATACCCCTAGCTCCAATCTGTTTTCCCGTAAATGTAAAGTCCAAGAACAGGCTTCCTCAACCTCGGCCATCCAGATGTCTTTGGCCTACAACTCCCATGATCCCTAGCTAGCAGGACCAGTGGTCAGGGATTATGGGAATTGTAGTCTCAAAACTACAAGGTTGAAGAAGCCTGCCCAAGAATATGTGACCTTTGACAGAAAAGAGTCCCCATCCCTCACCTACATCATGGTTCAAAGTAGGGCTTGTTAACCTTTCTGAGTTTATTGACACATCTACAAACAAGAGAAATTGCAGTGGTTACACAGAGTCTGCAACCATGCACATACAACAACCTTTTCTATTGGTCATGAAAGAATTCTTTCAAGTCTAATTTCAATGTGGTGGAGGGAAATAAGACCCTGGAAAGGCCTCTGAGCACATGTGTGTCCATGGGCAACCTGCTAGTAATCCCCAGTGAAGCCAGCGTGGTGTAGTAGTTAGTGCTGGCCTACAACCCGAAACACCAAATTCCCATGCAGCCATGAAAGCTCACTGGGTGATCTGGGGCCAGTCATTGCCTCTCAGCCTAACCTCACAGGATTAAATGAAGAGGGGAAGAACCATGCACACCACCTTAATTTGACCTCCTTTGGGAAAAGGTGGGATATAAATGCAAGAAATAAATAAACAAACAAACACTTGTGTTACTCTCAAAGGTGTATAGAGTATGGGCCAACAAGTGGCCTAAGTAAAGGGAGGCAAATAAACAGATCTTACCTTTCCTGGAAAGGCTAAAGTTAGAATACAACAGTGTGTCCCAAGAACTTTAGTTAAAGAAGAGTGTTTCTGAAAATGAGTTATTTGCAAGCCAGCTACCATCAAGGAAGAGAGTGATTTTTCTACCCTTAATATTTTCTGTTCACACAGAATGAAAAGAAAATGAATAGAGACAGACAGCACTGAGACACAATTGGCAAGCGACAGCTTAAAAATAAAAACATGCAAGGCCATGATTATCCCAGCCACGATTGCTTCTCTGTCTCAGGCCAACAGGCTTCATTTGGCAGCTGCAAAACAAATAAACAAGCACATCCAACCAAGAACTCCTTGGTATTCTTCTTGGGCCTTTGTTTGTTTATCGGCTGGAGGAGTATTTGACAACTGCTCAATAGCCATGCAGAAAACAAATGCTTATGGGAAGCTTGTGAAAAATGTATGTGCAGGTGACACTGAAGCTTACATGATGACCTCTGTATCACTTGGACATATAGTCTAGAATAGACTACTGACATCCCTGCTTGCTTATATCGACAAGCTCTACTAGGTGCTCTGTAGTTACATGTATACTTTATTGCTTTTGCTTGTGTAATTAAAGTCTGCAAACATATTAGTTTCTCTTGTTATAATTAAATATAGGATGGATCAATTTGAAGACAGGAACTGGGACCGTCTGGGCACAGGTAGTACCCTAATAGTCCTATCGTGGCAGAAGTTAAACAGCATTTTTTAAATTGTGCAGCAAATACAAAATAGAACCAATTATGAACAATTACATATAATTATATACCTATAATGAACACCCACAGAACAATAACCAGTCTTTAGCAACCACATTCCTTTCAGAGGTTTTAGACTACAACTCCCATCAGCCACAGTCAAGCATGTCTACACTGACTGGGGATGATGGGAATTGTAGTTCAAAACACCTGGAGGGCACCAAGTTGCCAAATGATTATCTCTAAATCAAGACATGGAACTTACAGCACACTCCAGTGCTTTAAAATTAATGATATTTTTTTTAGTAAGAAAAAGTGAAAGAACTTGTCAAAGTGGGGCAATGGGATAGAAGGACTGTTTTTTAATCAGCTTTCCCCAATCAGATGCATTCCAGGTGTTTCAGAGTACAATTCCACACAGCTCGGGTCATCTGGGGTTGATGTGAGTTGTATTCAAAAACATATGGAGAGCACCAAGTTGGGGAAGCCTAGTCTAGACTGACCCTTAATATAATAATAGGGTTACATCCTAACATGCCTTGCTTCTTATCCAAAATAATTCTTGCAGCAGCTCATATACTTGCTTAAACCCATCTATTATTTGCTGTCTTGCCTTGCCCTCAAATTCCACGTTATTTAACTCAGTGTTGCCAGTTTCCACAATGTGATCATAAACTACACCTTAAGCAACACTTTCAGCAGGCACAAGAGTAACACAAAGGCTGCCTTGCAAAAACACACCGAGACAAGACTGGGACGGAATAGATCCCACAAGGGTAGTTTTCTGCATATGCAGCAATATGACAGCTCTGTAGATGACAGCCTGTATAGGAGAATCACGCACATGGGGAAATGCAAGACAACTGTAATAGAGTTGGGAATCTGGATATGCACATGAACACACACACACACACACACCATTTATGGAAGTAGCAAATGTGAGATGTGTGTAGTGGGGAAATAAGGCAAGACAGAGGAAGGACAAATAACTTCATTGGTTCCTTCCTGCACACAAACACTGACACACACCTGTGTTTTCATAAATACACAGCAGAATCCTCCCATTTTTAAACACGGCATAGCATGCTTCACAGTTACACACAACTTTCCTCCCTGATGTGGGCATACACTCCTCCCTTGCTTGGGCAGGATGACGTATCACTCTCTTACTATCTGCCCTGAGCACACTCAGTCCAAGAGGACAACTGGCAGGCAGGTAGTTTCATTCTTTATTGCTAAGCAGGAATTTACAGTAGCTCCTGAGGTGCACTCAACATGTACACCTATGCTTCTGGTGGCTAGGTAGCTGGCACCTTTCCCTGGGCATGGTAAAGCCACAGGCTCCTTGCAAGCCCTGGTTCTCTGAAGTTCCAACTTCAGGACTTCAAAGTGCTAAATCCCCTGTGATGTCAGGTTTACTGACTGGTGGGTGGCCTGCACATCAAATGTGGCCTGCAAGGCTAGATCTGAGAAGGATCCGGCCTGTGAAGTCATAAAGGTTCCCACTCCTAGTCTAAAATGTTGTCTATGGAGCACTGCAGAGTTCTGAACTGTTAAAATGAAGGATTCTGTTAGAATAAAAAACTAAATTTAAGTTTTTTAAGAATCCTATTTTGCTCTGCTTTAACAAAACAAAACCCAGAGCTCTTCAGAACTCTGCACATAGCATTCTAGACAGCATCACATTGCAAGCCCTATTGAAGACCTATATAGCTTACTGGAGGACTCCAGTAATGTCCAGAAAGAAAGGCTAGTGTGATGCATTCAAGTTAAATTTTTTTTTTTAATGTAGAGGCAAGAATACACATCACTTGGCCACCTCTGAATTTCTTTAAAGTTAGAAAGATGGGAAAACCCACTCTTCCCGTAAGGGATTATTATTTAGGAAAGTGAATCTTTTTTTACTTTCCCACCACCCCTGGACCTATTTGTCTACTATTTGGGAGACTTAATCCACACTATAGGGATTCTTGTGCCAGCAAATTTCATCCATTTTGGACCAAAGGAAAGTTACTGTGTTTAGATTCCCTGTTATAGTGCATGAGGAATCAGAGTCTGTTTTATACAGAATAGCTCATGGGCTGAATTCAGATTGGAAAAAGAACAGAGAGTGGCTCAGAAACAGACCAGAATTGTGAATCTTGGGGCCCAAATGTTTTCATTTTTAACCAAAAGAGACTGTATCCTTTTACATTCTCTTTAAATGAAAGCTGAGGGAAAATAAAATATAGACCAAATGTTACATAATAGCGCCTTCAGCTCTACAAAACAACACCCACTATTCACAGTGGCGTAATTTCTGATTAGGTAACCTCATGCACAGCACTAATTTATTCAGCTAAATTGGTAGCCGTAGATTGTGGACCCTTTGGTCAGGGACCCTTGTTGCTCGAGGCTGCTAACCATATATATTTAGAAGCAAGTACTGTACCATTGAATTCAATGGAGCTTACTCCCAGCTAAGTGGGGTTAGAATTGCAGTCTTGGTCTTATCTTACAGGAAGGTATTCACATGCTGAATGGTAGCAATGGGGAGTGTAAACATATTTTTTCCTGTCCACAAAACTTTCCCCTCTTTCTTATACCCTGGGTTTCTACATTGGCGCTAACAGTCATGGGAAAAAGAAAGGGCATCTTCTTTGAATTCTGCGGTTTTGTGACGACATAAAAACAATCTCCTGTTCTTTAGCAGGACTCAAAATTGGATAAATACAACCTCAGATGGACAACAACACATGACGTTTACGTCGAGTCACCTCCCAACTACGCTTCTGCTCCTGGTAAATTCCCCATTTCCTTTTCTTTCCTTCTTCTTTTTTTTGGGGGGTGCGGGGAGCGACAATTTCCCTCTTCAAAAACCGACCCTTCCAGCATTTGGAAGGGGAAACTATATGGACCTCCCCTTCTTAGCCGAGGAGGGGGAGGAGGAAGTTGCCGTGCCACTCTATCCCCCGACTCTCTCTATGGTTCCTCCTCCTCCCCCCCCCGCTCCAGGTCCTCCGGCTTGTGCCTTACCCAGCGTGCACCGCGGCGGAAGAGAGTGACGACAATAACAAACAGCGGCGGCGAGGGCTGCGCGTAAAGCGAGCGGGGGGCCCTGCGAAGGAGCGCCCGGAATCCCCGGCTGTGTGGCTTCCCTTCCCCTCGCGCCACCTCCGCGTCTCTCTCCCTCCCTGTCCTGTCAGGGAGCCCCGCCGCCGCCTCCCCTCCCGCTCTGAGGCGGCGCCGCCTGAGCTTGCCCTGTGGAGCCGCAGCGAAGGGGAGGAGGAGGAGCTTCCGCGGCCGCCGGTCACCGGCGCGGGATGGTGCGCGGGGCCGCCCAGCTGTTGCTGCCGCTGGCGCCGCCGCCGCTGCTGCTTGGCTCTCCTTCGGGTACGTCGGGAAAAGGGCGCGGTGGAGGAGCTTCCGCGGCCGCGGCAGTTGCTGCTGTCGCCGGGGCGACCAAGGCCCGCCTTCCTCCTCCTCCCTTCGGCTGGGGAGGGGCGAGGACCCTCTTTTCGCGACGGGGGGTGGGCGCACCCGCTTGCGAGGGCGGAGCCGCCGCCACCCCCTCAGTCGGGGTGGGGTGGGGGGTTATCTCCGTCCATGGGCCAAAGAACCTCGAGGTTTGGGGGCTGAGAGCTGGGGCTCTCCTCGTCTCCCTCTCCGCCTCCGGCCCGCGTAGCTCGGAAGGGGGACCGGCTCGTCCTGAAGTTAACTCCGAGGGGGGATGACTCAGCCCATCTGCGCTTCTCGCAGCCCCGCCCACAGCACCTTGTTGCGAAAAGGGAGGCAGCGTGCTCCGAGGGGGTGGCTGGGTGGTTTTGTTTTCTTCTTTCCTCACCCAGGACAGCAGGCTTATTACCTAAAGCCTTCATTCGCACGGATGCTAGCGAAGGATTTCTAGTTGTTTTTATCTTGCTCCATCTCCTCCACACCCAACTTTCCCTCCCCCCCTTCCTTTTGCGCTGAAGGCCCTGTGTGAATGCCAAGTCACATTGGGTCGGAATGGTCGTCTAAGTTAGGTGGGCTTGGCCTAAATTGACTGTTTGTGTGGGTGGGTGCCACTGACTGGGTGATATTCACACAAACCAGGCGATTGCCTCTTGGTAGGCTTCGCTTATGTTGTAGGTTTGAGCTTGTTGACAAAATACACATAAGCATGCTGTTACAAGATGAAATTGTTTGGGACAATTAAATGGCTGTTTGGTAGATAAGCATAATAGAACATTGTATTTCATTGACACCATAATGTATTTCATTGACACTGGGTCAGATGGAAGTAGTAGGTTTAAGTGATATGTAGGTTATGCTGAACATGTTATGAAAAGTAGGTGTGTAGTAAATCACTGTAATCCTTTTTTTTACCATGAATACTACAAAAAGTATTTAATTTTTCTACTGTGAAGTGAAAACTATTTGAACATCTGTCAGTGTGAGTAGCATTGCAACTGCTTTTATTTTTAACTTCAGACACTGGCTTTGCAAAATTTGCTGCTATTTCTTTGTGTCCTTAAGTTTTGAAGCTTTGAGGTGCATTGTAGGTCTTTGCTAAATGAAGAATGTGAAGAATAATAGCCTTCCCAATCAGCGTTAACAGCAAGCAGAGCAGTCCAACACCCCCTCCTCTTTATGTTGGGTGGGGGTTGCATTAGGTGGAGGTCTTCCTCTGCCCACCTCTTAGGCCTTTTGCTGAGCAGGTGACAAGCTGCCTGGCTGCTGTTGCTCAGTGGTGTCAGGCCCAGTTGTTGTGTTCCCACTTTCCACTGTGTCCACTGAGACTGGCAGGGCTTCCATTGTGGCAGTGGCTCCACTGCTCTGCAAAACCCTATTGGCAGGAGATGGGAGTTTGGATTGCACTCTTTAAATTTAGTTTTATGAACCTGTGAAGCATAGTGTGGTGTTCACATGAGTTCCAATGATTGGTGTTTCTTTTTATAAAACTGTGTTTAGTTGACAAAATATTTAAGTCATTGGCAGTGTGGACTTAATGTTTTTTTTATTTAGAGAGTAATCATCTTTCTTCCTGTATATAGTATTAGATATTTATCTAAGCTTAAACCTACAGTAGGACTGGGCAATACCTGGTTTTGAGCACCATGATACATCAACCAGCTAAACATAGCAATATATTGATATATATATCATGATGTCTGAAATAAGGATGAAACTATGTAAAGGCAAATAGTCCTACAATGTATTTGGGAAATCAAGAATTCAATGTGAACTGTCATAAGAAAAGTTCCTTGTCACAGTATTGTCTTAATGTAACACAGAACAGTACATAGCAGTTACATAACCAACTACTGCTGTAGTACTAGCAGTTAGTGAATCTTAGGTGTATTAATAGGGCAAGGGCTGCATTCAAGTATTTCTTGGATTTATTTATTTTTTAGGGGAAGGAACTTGTTTGTACCTGTGTGCTTATAGTTTATTGATCAGACATTTTAGTCCAGCGCTGAGGTGGAAAGTATTTAATATGTTGGTATTAAAGTATTCCCATGATTCAGGAACACACCAGACAATGATATAGCCTGCATGAAATTATGGTTTCACAGTTGTGCCATGCTATAGACTCCATTGGCCTCATAGTTTACATTAACTGTACTGATAGAGGGGTATAGGTATCATAGGTAAAGGTAAAGGGACCCCTGACCATTAGGTCCAGTCGTGACCAACTCTGGGGTTGCGGCGCTCATCTCGCTTTATTGGCCGAGAGAGCCGGCGTACAGCTTCCGGGTCATGTGGTCAGCATGATTAAGCCGCTTCTGGTGAACCAGAGCAGCTCACAGAAACGCCGTTTACCTTCCTGCCGGAGCAGTACCTACTGGCACTTTGACGTGTTTTCAAACTGCTAGGTTGGCAGGAGATAGGTATCATAGTTGTGAAGTATTTCACCTTAATTTGTGATGTACTTGTTTTTGAACAGCTCCAGTATATCATTATGAGAAGCTAATGCTCCATGTAAGGTGTTTTGTCCTATGTATTCTCTACTGGTTTGATTCTCATTAGGAATCTTCATGGACACACTATGTGGGTCTCCTTTATGGGGGTCTTATTGAGCAACCCTGTATATACTTTCCTGAGAGTAAATCCCAGCACAACACTGACTTCTAAGTAGATGTATAGGATTGCTCTACTGGTTTAATTTCACTATGGATGGAGAGATGTTTTCATCCAACATGTATCTGTCTTGATCCATAACGGCTTTGGTGATTTTTTAAAATAATGGTAATTATCGATGAAATTTCATGATGCATACATTTTAAAGTTAAAATACGTTTACTGGTTGCAGTAGGAGAGTTTGGGATTACATGTAAATAAACTGTTAAAGAATTTAAACTCTGTTGGCATGGGGGAGGGAAGAAATTGTATCCATAAATCTTAAGAATCCATGCAAATGTGAATTGTTACTTGACAGAATGCCTAATTTGTATAGTTTGGGTTTGCCAACTTTTTTTGACTTCCAGGTGCGTTTGAATTTTAAGAGTTCTGGGGACACTAGTCACCAAATAGCTGCTAGTAATGCAAAATGGCTGCATGGCATAACACTAAATTAGAGAAACAGTGACCCCCAACAACCTTATGTTTACCATGGGAAGTCAGCTATGTCCTGCTGGTCCTGATTGTTGAGATTGTACAATATCAATTTTACACACACACACACACACACACACACACTCTGATAGTGTTGTTTTCTAATAGAAATGGGAGCATTCCTCAGTACCAGGAAAAATATACAAGGTGGCCACACCATACTGGACATTTTGCCTCATAACTTTCTTTCTAGGAGGGCTAGATACTTACTTTACTTACTTTAGTGAATTAGCATTCCAAACTCTCTTCACAACAGTTTTGCATATAGGCTGTTGTGTGCAAAATGCAGGCAAAGATCACAGATGATAATGTTGTGACTTGCTTGAGGTCAGTGAATAAATTCATAGTCTAGTCACAATTTTAAATTTAGTTTCCCAGCTCCAGTCTTATGCATTCACCCACGTCCACCCTGTCTAACAACACTATGTTTATGGAATCTATGCAGTTTTTTGTGTTCCACACAGCAAAGCAATATTCATAGCACATTTCATATTTTACTGTTGGGGGTAATGGAATTCCTGGCCTCCAGCTCTTAAAAATACATTGGCACCTAGGATTTTTCCAGTTTTCTTTGAGTTTTTCTTGCTTCTGTTAAGACACGCCCTGGGTAAGAATGGTACAGACACTGTCCTGGACCACACAACACAATAAGCGAAATGATAGCTTACTTACTGAAACTGCCCAAATGTGGGCTCCGAGAGAGAAGTATGCAGCTGCTTTTCTTCTCCTGATCCCTTTTGCTGCTGTCCTGTGTTGAGCTAAGCCACGGTTTGTCATCAAACCAGGATTTGTGAGTTACACTCTCCTTGCTAACCACAAGCTGTAACCAATATTTTGTTTTTTGTTTTTATTTCACTTACGAATCACTCCCATAAGGAATCCATGGAGGACCTTACTGCATATTTTCCTTCCTTGTAAAAAAAAGTCTCTTCCAGCCATTTTGTCCTTTTACCTGTTTTCAGCCTGTAAGAGTACCCCTTGATCTTGCTTCTTGGCTGCTAAGTTTGCTCAGAAGCACTTGAATAGTGTATAAACAGCTCTGTGGATGTTCCAGGTACATAAAATTTAGCTGATCACCCCAATCTACATACTTGTGACACTCTGAAATAAAAGTGGCAAGTTTGAAGCTCTTTGAAGAAGCCATGCTGACTTGTCTACAACAAGGCTTATGCTATTAGGTGTTTTAATGTCCTAGCTTTAATCATGCTTTCTTCTAATTACTTAGAACGTCACTTAGGCCTACTGGTCTGTAATTTGCTAGATTTCCTTTAAATACTGGCATTAATTACACTGATAGCCTTCTAACCCTCTGATTCTGGTTTTAATAAGTTGCATTCTTTGTGAAATTTTGGCACTTTTCACATTTGAGTTTGTAAAGAAGTCTTGGCTCTGGAATAGACAAACTTGGCCCTCCAGATGTTTTGGGACTACATCTCCCATCATCCCTGACCTCTGGTCCTGTTAGCTAGGGATGATGGGAGTTGTAGTCCCAAAACATCTGGAGGGCCAAGTTTGCCTACGCCTGTCTTGGATGAATGCTATCTTGCTCCAGTGATCTGTTAAACTTCTAATGTGACATTTAGCTTTATAATGAGATTGCTTAGCACCTTTATTTGGCATGGCTCTTTCTTCCTCGAAAGGAGTGGTTTGACTGTGGAACTCTCATCTGCATTTTTTACAGTGAAAACTAGTGGAAACAACACATTTTGTTTCGCTGCAGTCTCCAATCTTCTTACAGTAGTTCTTTCACCCATTTGCTATCCAAGGTTCTTACTGCCTCTTTACTGGTTCCCTGCACTTAAAAAAAACCCCACAAGCACTTAAGTTAAGATATTAATACCCTTATTCATCTTTTTTGCTTGCTTCAACTTGTATTTGCCACAGTAAGCAGTCTGGTTAATTTACCTCTTTTGAACAGTGCTTCCATTTTTCTAAAAAAGACTCGTTGCAGTTTACGGTGTTCTTGACATTTAACCACATAGTCTCTTGGATTTGTTACTTTCCTGTCCTTTCTATTTTATGTACTTTTTTATTGGATTTTTATTAAAGTGGTTTGAATAACCTCCAAGCTTTCTGGGACGATCTGGGCTTTCGTTATATCTCCAAACCAAGTTACTTTAAACAGATCATCTTCTGAAATGAAGTATAACTGTGCTGGACTTGCTAGGCAGTTTTCTGTTCATGTGCATGTTGAATATGATAGAGTTGTACTGTAATTGCTCTTCAGAAGAGGTTTGGCAACACATCCTTGATCTGATTCAGGGCACTGCTCAGGATTCAGGCCCCATCTACACTATACATTTTTAAAACATACTACTTTAAACAGTCCTAAAGAATCCTGGGAAGAGTAGTTTGTTAAGGGTGCTGAGAGTTGCTAGGAGACCCCATTCGTTCCCAAAGCTACACTTTCAGTGGTTTAACGCTGGATGCTTCTCCCCAGGGAACTCTGGGAACCGATGGAAATGAGTTGGGTGGAATGAGGTTGAAGGAGAGAGAAACTTGTTTGATTGGATGCAACTCAAAGTCTCCAAGCAACGTTCATAATAAACCTGTGATCTGATTATGTTTAGATGTGCCCTGATTTTTTTGTTCATCTCAGTATCATCATCAGAACTTTGATATGGACCAGGTTAGGGCAAGAATATATAGTATTTGTACTGCATTTCAAACGAAGCCTCTCAAAGTATATTGCACTTGTTTTTCTTCCCACAGTGGTTCTGGATAGGATGACAACTAAGGTCTATGCTTTGTTCAGTTGTAAATAACAAAGCTTGGTCACTGGTGGTAATTTAGTCTTTCCTCTGGGCAACTAGACAGGGAAGCGTTTGTAAATTGCAGAAGAGTTGCTTTTTGTCCTTCTCCTTCTTAGAATCATAGAACTGTAGAGTTGGACCCCAAGGGCCATCTAGCCCAACCCCTGCATTGCAGAAATCTTTTGTCCAATGTGGAGCTTAAACCCATAGAGCTGAGATTTAAGAGTTGCATGCTCTACTGACTGAGCTATCCCACCATACACCAAATTACTATCATAGATATGTGTGAGCTGGTGGTATTCATGAGTCTGAGTTTTCTGTTTCAGCTTAGATGAAATTGTTGTGTTCATGCTGTACAGAAATATTTAAATTAGGTTTTTCAGTATTAATCAGTTTCACATTTCTTTTCTCTACAATCACTTAGTTTTCCCCACCTAATGTTTATTGTAAACCTTCTATGGCAATTTTGTTTTTTGTTCTGTTTAGTACAATGTATACAATTGGCATGAAAAAAGTGCTTTAATAGTAGTTTTTGAAGTGCAGCATTGTCATGAACATTTGAATAGTCATTGTTAACTTGCTTCCTGTTGCACAAATATTTACCCTTCATTCTCTCTTACCCCCCATTACTTTTTAGGTCTTTGATTCTCTGTGTTTAATAGAAACTTCATTCTCTTGCCAAAGTCAAATGAGGAAAATAGGTGGTTTTGCAACCCAGCTGTTAAAGACTGTGGAACCTCCATGCAGTGCCTGAAGGTAACTGTTTCATCCCGGAGAGCAAATATTTCAAGTTTAAACTCATAACAAATTATTTGCTACAGTTTTTTATTATCTTTGTTTTTTGAGAATTTGGTTCTAAGTGATTGGTGTCATCGTAAACAAATTTAAGTTGCTGGGTTTTGCTCTTTTAATTAATATAATGATTCCTCCTGACCATCCAGGCATTGAAGTAATTCTAGCAGTTATGTAAACAATTCCTCTAAAGTCTTAAAAATATAGCCTATCTGGGTACAGAACCTTTGTTGCCAGCGATGGTTGGGGCTAGAGGCGAAAGTGAGTGAAGCAATAAATGTACAGATTACCTTTATAAAGCAGGCTAATAAAGCAGCCTGTTTCCTAGTTCCTTTGCAAAAATTCATGAAAAAGTATGTGTGAAAAATTTGGAATTCTCAGGATGTTACGGAGTGTCAGTCTCCCAGGGTACCACACACATGGGGTTGTATCCAGTGTTAGTCCTCCTCTAGAGAAGACCCATTGAAATGGGTGATGAGACCAGCTTGGATATGTTAATTTCAGTGGGTCTACTCTGAAATAATGTCACCTGCATGTCCCAGGAGGACTTAAAATTATTGGGATCTGAGTTAGTTCTTGTGTTTAGGATTTTTTTGGGGGGAGGGCATGCATGCAAGAGATGGTTGCAAGAGGCAGAATAGACTACTAATACAGTGACACCCTGTATCATGTTACCATAATACCTTGGTTACTAATAGCCATGGGGTGGTCACTGACACAGTTGGTTCTGACCTCCCCCAAAATGTCACAAAGCAAATCAGCCCCTGCTAAAGGCTACCACACATACATATGCTGTCATGGAATGATTCTCTTATGTCCTTGAACTGCTGCAGCATCAGTTCATTGCTATATGTTAGGATTTCCTACTATGAATGTGCCTCAAGTGTTGACACTGAAAACCTTTAAATTGAAAATAATTTTTATGTGTTATTATTAAGCTGATACTTGGGTTTCTTTTCAGCTTTTAAATAATAATCACAGAGTTGAAGCTATAAACTTCTGGATCCTAAAGAAGTCACCATGAAGTTATATGTATTTCTGGTCAACACTGGAACCACCCTTACCTTTGACACAGAACTTGCCGTACAGAAGTAAGTAAATCCTTCTGGTCTTCTGTGAGGAATCTGTTGCTGGACTGTTCTTAGCAAAGCCATCTCTTGATTCACAGTATATGTTTTGTTTGGGAGTGAGAGTTAAAGCAAAACTACTATTAGAATGAACCTGTAGTGTTACAGCTTTTCTGAGACATTTAGACAATTTAAGAAATACTCTCTTATTAATGTGGTTTTTGTGCCATTACATGAACCTTGCTGGAGCTCACCCCCTTCATCCTTGTTTGAGATCCTTCCTCCTTTGCCATTCACTCTAAATTAAGAGAGCTTGTGCTGGATATATGGCATGGTCACTGCAGCAGGGCCAGCTTACGTTGCCTGTTCTGTCCTTAAACAGTTGGGATGGTTTCTCATATAAAATGCCATTAGTGATGGATTGACAAAGGGCAGTTACTCCTAGCCTCTATCATTGTCCTAGTGTAGGAAGTAGCAGTTTAATAACTGAACTTTGGCATTATCTATATTAAGTCTTTAACATTTAGAGTACTCTGTAAATGTATAATTCTTAAGGATCTGTGGAAGATACTGAAACTTTTTTTTGTCATTTTAATCAGTGTGGCAGACCTTAAACAAGCTATCCAAACTAAATACAAGATCGCTATTCAACATCAAGTATTGGTTGTCAATGGAGGAGAGTGTATGGCAGCTGACAGGAAAGTCTGTAGTTATAGTGCTGGAACGGTAAATATTCATTTCTCTTTCCATTATTTCATTTTTTTAAAAAAAGTCTGGAAGGAGAAGAAAGTAATACTTCTTATCTTAACACAGGATACAAACCCAATTTTTCTCTTCAACAAAGAAATGATCTTGTGTGAACGTCCTCCAGCTATTCCAAAAACAACATTTTCAGCAGAAAATGAGATGGAATTAAAAGTGGAAGAATCTCTTATGATGCCTGCAGTTTTTCACACGGTAGCTTCACGGACACAGCTTGCTGTGGTAAGCAATTTCAGACCCTTTAACAATTGGGCTGTGTTAAAGCATTGAGCACTCAGTAAACTCTCTCAAATTGAAGCTAGCTGGACATGTTGCTGCTTTCATGGTACGAAGTTTTACTTTTGGTACTCTTCTGTTTCATTTTGTGGGGATGGAATAGTATCTTTTGGATTTTGACATGCTGGATTAATCCAGGAGTCTGTAAACAAGTTTTGAAATGTCCTCTGTTTGTAGGAGGTTAGAAGTAATGATAAAGAAGGCTGGTATGGTATGGCAGGGTGAACTGGTGTGGAATAAGGAAGGGATTGTGGCATGAAGCAGAAATGTGTGATTCCATAGACTGTTTTAGAAATTTTAATCTTGGTAAATGCCCAGAAAACATTGCATTTGCACCTACCTTTAGTTAGTACCATTTTCTCTTGAGTATTTTTCAAAATTACATTTTCTTTGAATGGAAGACCACCAACATGTTTGCAATAAAAGTGGTATTTCTGATGCAAATACACTTTGTGCTATTTATGGAAGTGCAAATAGATATGTGTGTTGCATGAAAACTACATGGGTTTTCATAACTTTCTGTAAAATGCTTTGAGACTTTTTTAAAAGTTGGCATATAAATCTTATGGAATAAATATGATTACAATTAGGTATTTTAGATGGTTTGTTAAGAACAGATTTCATTTTGCCTTGATTGGGTGGATAAATCCTTTGCTACTGTGGGATCCAGTACATTCCAAAAGTGCATCAAAAAGTGGTCAGCCAGATGTTTCAAAGAAGCTTAATAAGTAGCATGTGATGGACAAGGGTGATTTGATAGCTCAGTTTCTGCAGAAGATTCCAGGTTAAATGTGTGGCATCTTCTGTTAAAAGATCAGCTAGCAGGAGGTTGGGAAAACTCTTTCTGAAATCCTGGGCAGCCTCTCCCAGTCAAAGTAACTACTGGGTTAGATGGACAAATATTCTGGTGGAGCTTCCTATGCTCCTTCATAGCCATATCATGTTTCTCCCTAACAGCTAGTAATCAAAGGTATGCTACCTCTGAACAAAGCAATTTGTCCTGCCTGCATTTATTTAACCCTAGCATTCATGATATTCTGTGACAATGAATTTCATAAACTTCATTTACTATAGGAAAATGTACTTCTTCTTGCTAGTTTGTCCTGAGCCTGCTGCTGGTCACCTTTATTCAGTGACCCTGAGCTCTTTGAAAAGAGAATAATTTATTATATTTAATGAAGTTAGTTGGTTTTATTTCCAAAAAATTTATGCCACCGACATTAGGAAAAATATATAGCAATCAACAGCATGAAGTGAATAAAATTTCATTCGTAAAACAAATACAAAATATATTACAGGCCAGTATATCTGACTAATACATCAACTTATGAATACATCAACATCGGTGGATCACCCCTCGGACAGAAGTGAATAGATTTTGACAGGTGCCTAAATACCAATGTAATAGGTGCCTATCTGATGTTCGCTGGAAGTGCATTCCAAGGGACAGGTGCTTACCCAGAACTAACATCATAGCAGGAGTCAAACTTCATTTATTGACCCTCATCCAGCTCACTTCAGCACCACCACACCTGATTCACATGCTATAGAAAAGTAGTACTGGGTGTTGTTGATGTACTGATGAGGGCCAATCAGAGAGAATCTTGGAGTTTTACACAGTCTGGAAGTAGGTAGGAAGTGCTTATTGGCACCTAGCCAGGACTTGGGAATATCTAAAAAAGCTGGAGGAGATTTTTCTCTTGCTCTTGCATATTAACAAAACATACAGTGCCTGTGTGTTGGCTGGCTTTGGAAACTGCACAGCATATCACCTTGTTAGTTAAAAAAGGCAGACAAGTGATCTGCAGGGGGGGAGGCATTTGAGTCTGTGTTGTTCTGAGCCTTCCAGGACAACTACCCTCACTCAGATTCCTTTTGCAGGGCCTTCTACTGCACATCTTCTCTTTGCACCAGTGAATCATTTTCCTCCTAAGGAATATTTAATAAATGCTTTTAGTGTTTCATATATCTTAACTTGAAAATGTCGGAATTTTTTGCATCATGTTTTGCAACAAGTTGATATGTATGTCTAGAGCGCTAACACGTTAATGTTTATGTTGTTTTTGCACAGGAAATGTATGAGATTGCCAAGAAACTTTGTTCCTTCTGTGAAGGCCTAGTCCATGACGAACATCTTCAGCACCAAGGCTGGGCTGCCATAATGGCAAATTTGGAAGATTGCACATATTCTTACCAAAAGCTGCTTTTCAAGTTTGAAAATGCATATTCAAGTTACCTGCAGTCCATAGATGATATTAAGCTGAAACTTACACAGTAGGTTTGCCATTAGACTCCTCAATAAAAAGCTACCTCTGCATAGTCGCTTTACTGAAAACTAAGGTTTTATGGGGGGTTTTTACATTTACAGTAAATTAAATTTAATCCTGTTCCAGTGTCTTTGCACTAATTGAAATAATAAACAGTGCTAATGGTATTATTTATAGAGGTTTAATTTTGGAGTTAAGGCTATAAACCCAAACTTAAATCTCACCGAATTCTTACTTTTGAGTAGATATGTACTGGGATTGCACTGTAAAAAAAAAGTAAGTTTTCCTAACCTTTTTTTCTTCAACACTCCAATGCAAGACTGTGACTGGCTCAAGGACACCCAGGGAGCTTCACAGTTAAGGAGGAGTCCAACACTCGAACCATCACACTACACTGGCTCATCTGAAACCGTTTGCTAAATAGTGTTGCACACGCATACGTAAAGGTTTTAGCTCTAGTAAAAAATAATCCTATTCAGGAATTCAGGAATTGAATCCATGGAGTACCCACAGGGTTGTATGTGCCTTCCCTGCTGCCCTTTCTGAAAGGGGCTTGTAAGCACATTCAGCTGATCCCAGTTACAGAGGGTTCTCAGTCACATGGGAGACTGTACCCACATTCAGCTGGAGGCAGTTACAGTTCCCCGTCAGACGTTCCTTCATAATGTTGGATGGTTGAGTGGAGAGAGCAGGGTCACTGCAAACCCCTCCATGGATACAATTAATGAACATCCGAATAAGGCTCAAGTCACAGTCCAATTCAGAATAGGTTTGAATATTTAAATTTATAAGGAAGCATTTCTTAATTGGAAAAAATTGAAGACTTGAGTATTAAATTGTATTGAGGACACCTTTGAGAGCATATTTTTAAAGTATGTTTGCCACTATACCTCAGTTTCTTTGTACTTAATAGATTTTTGTGTGTGTTCTTTTCTCAAGCTTAGGGGCTGCTGTTTCGATAATGGCCAAGATCCCACTCTTGGAAAGCTTAACCAGACACAGTTACCGGGAATGCTTAGAACGACTAGATTCTTCTGCTGAACGTGGTGGGACAGAAAGTGAAGACACTGAGAATGAGAAGTCAGCTGAAGTGGCACTTTCTCCTGAAATGCTTAAAATGAACAAACAATCGCTGTTAGCATCATTTTGCAAATCGGTAGAGCACGCAATCCCAGATGGCACACCCTCCGAAAAAGTGGATGAGAACAGCCAAGCCAGTCAAAATCCTTCTGTTCAGGACAGTGATGCTTCAGTGGAACTTAAGGAGACTGATCTGCCTTCTTTCAATGTCTCACTTTTAGACTGGATAAATGTTCAAGATAGACCTAATGATGTTGAATCCTTGGTCAGAAAATGTTTTGATTCCATGAGCAGAGTAAGTTAATGCCTCAAATAATGCCATTGGGTTCTCTTCTAATATTTTGCGTTCTGGCTTTCCAGCTTGCTACAAGTTTAAGCATTCTTCATAGGAATACGGTGAGATGTTCTTACCAGGAGTTCTGAATCAGATTTTAATAATAGTTGTACAATCCTCTTTCTTACTCCTACATTGCATGATGATCTTGCTGTGGTTTGTGTTTGTGGTTTGAGCGAGGTTCCCACTGTTCATGAACAATATTGTTTTCACATGGTCACTCCCTGTGGGAATTGTGATGAACAAATATCCTTTTCCTTTCTTGTATCAGCAGCCAGTCATCTTCTGAGAGGCTAGGTGTGGCCACTTGCTGCTATTGTCATTGTTAGAAAATGGAAATGAGCCTTGGGTCCGCTTCAGAATTGACTTAAGTTGTCACAATATGCCCATGATGTTAACTCTGAAATATATTTTAAGACTCTTTTATGGGAAAATAGGCTCTCCCATTGTTAGCATTTCTTTTTTAAAAAAGTAGCATGGGGTCAGAATAGAAACTTGTGGGATACCTTAGGCATTAAGCAAGTGTCCCCAGGACTACCTTCTGAAACCTTCCATCTGGGAAGGACTGGAGCCACTGCAAAATGGTCCCACTCCATCTAGCAGTCCATAAGCACTTTGTAGGTGATGCTATCTGAAACTTCTAAGAGGTCTGCTAGAACCAACAGGGATGGTGCTCTCTATTTAGTTCCCAGCAAAGATCATCCACCAAGGTGACCAGAGTAGTCTTCTTCCTGAAACCAGATTGAAATTGAATTGTTCAGAGGGAGCCCACTTTCCCTTGGACAAGTCCCAAATCTCTCATAATCTTCCCAATTCAGTTCAGATTCATTTGAACAATGCACACACCTGATGGATACATGGTACATGGGCTTGAAAGCTTTAGAGGCCTGATTTAAGAAAAAAGACCAAAAGAAGCATATTTTGGAGACTTCTTTTGTTCAAATGAAACAAGCTGCAATCCTGTGCACACTTTCTTGGGAGTAAGCTCCACTGAGCATAGTGAGACTTGCTTCCAAGTAAACTTGCATTTGGATTGTGTTGTTAATCAGAAGGTTTAAGGAACTAATTAGAGATGACATTTTCATCTGCGGTTTAAAATCTTTCAAGCTTTTGGTTTCTAAAGTTACATATGTGAAATTATCTTTCCATGATCCATTGAAACCACTAAAAGTGGTTATTCATGCCAACTGCCTTTTTGTTTTTCAGCTCGATCCAAGGATTATTCAGCCCTTTTTGGCAGACTGTCGACAAACAATTGCCAAATTAGATAATCAGAACATGAAAGCCATTAAGGGACTTGAGGACAGGCTTTATGCATTGGACCAGATGATAGCTAGCTGTAGCAGACTGGTAAATGAACAAAAAGAACTTGCTCAGGTAATGACTCTTTCAGTTTTTATGTGAGTGGCAGGTGGATGATACTGTTTCCCAAGGCTACTGTATTCCCCCCCCCCAATAATGTCACTATTTTTAAAGAATCACAATTTTATAATTTAGTATTAAGCCCTAGATTAGTGCAACCCAGGCTAGGTAATGTGATTTTATCAGAACATGCATTTGGAAGCTAGCCTTTTGACAGCTGTCTTTTGAAAGGTGATGAAGAGGGTGGAGCAGAGCTGGCTGTGCCTTTAGGCAAACTGAGGTGGCTGCCTCAGGTGGCAGAAACCCCCAAGCCAGAGCCCCATAGCTGCCCTGCCACATCTGTGCTGATGCAGTGGTACCTCTGGATACGCACATCTCGGGTTGCATATCCTTCAGGATGCGAACGTGGCAAACCCAGAAGTATTTTTCTGGGTTTCGCCACACGTGCATGTGCAGAAGCGGTCCCTCCGGTTGTGGAAACCTTGGGATCCGACCAGAGCTCTGGAACGGATCCTGTCCGCAACTGGATCTACCACTGTGTTGGCTAAAATAACATGAGATCTTGTGAGTGTGCAAGATCTCACGTGATTCAGTGAGATCTCCCCCAAAATATGTGTCAGTGTCAGGGCTGGCAGAGAAGCGGCAGTGAGAGAAGCTAGGCAGGTAAAGGTGGTACTTCTGGTTTCACCTTAAGCAGCAAAACGGGTCTCGACAGCTCAGGTGGAGGCAGAGCAACTCCAGGCACTCGTGAATGAGACAGATTTTGTAGGCCAGTTCCAGTCTTTATTCAGGCCTGCTTGGGGACCAAACCAGCTCTAATCACATGAGAGAGAAACCGGGGTGGGGATGAGTTACACTCTTGATTTTGTTAGATCTCTTGATGGCCTTTGATAGCACTGGATCACCACTGTGGGTTTAGGAGTAGGGAGTGCTGTTTGCAGAAGGCAGCATTGGGTGATGCCTTTCAGTCCCCTGGGAGTTCCATGGTGCTACTCAGTATAAGGGGCCAGTGGGATCAAATGTCATTGGGAAGTATTGAAGCGCATCTCTATTTCTCGGTAACATCTGAATCAGGAGGTGCTGTGGAAGTCCTGAAATAGTTCATGGATTGAGGGACAGCAAACTGAAATGAAACACCAGCAAAGATAGAGGCCCTGTGTGAGTGGATACTGGATCTGAAAACTGGTCTGTTGCCTCTTCTGGATGGGGTTGCACTTCCTCTGAATGAACAGGTGCATAACGTGGGGGGTTGATCCTTGATCCAGCATTGCCAGTGGAAGCACAAGCATCTAGAAATGCCTTTTACCAGTTTCAGCTAATAACACCAGCTGCAGCCATTTCTGGACAAGGGTAGTTTGGTGACAGTGGTACACACAATAGTACTATTAGATTTATAGTCCACTTTAAAATGGGGCTGTCCTTAAATTTCATCTAGAGTTGCTGCTATTACAAAAAGGCTGTTGCATGGTAGCTTTTTGAGGCAACGTATAAAGCTTCTGTTGAAAGTATTCCTCTGGCTGCTGATTTGCTACTGAGTTACATTCAAGTTCTTATTACTGGTGTAAAAAGCCTTTACAGTTCTGGACAAGGGTATATGAGAAGTCACCTCTTATACAGTTATACACCACCTATACAGTTCTGGACAAGGGTATATGAGAAGTCACCTCTTCCTCCTGTTTCCTAGTCACTGAGATTTGTCAATAAAGATCTGTTGATGGTGCCATGTGCCCCTGCTGTAAAGCATGCTGTGGCTCCAGTTCTCTGCATTTCTCTTTCTTGAAAGTGAAGCGGGCTCCAGCACTGTTGCCATTATTTATTTTTTTGTTGCGTGCCCTTCACCCTAAGGTCCCAGGGCAGGTTACAGTATTACAGCACAATTTGGATTCGAGTTTCTCGCTCCCATAACCCTCACCTCTTTTGCTCCTGCAGCAACTGTAATTAATTGCTTGCTTTAAGCTACCTGATTTTACTCTTTGATAAACATTTCTCTGTCACAGTGACCCTGAGCCACATAGGTTTATTGTGAGAGGAGGGTGTATTGAAGCTGCTGCCTCAAAGCAGAGAGAACGATTGGCTGTGAACTGGATTGGATCCTGTTTGTGGAACTGGGATCCATTAATAATGCTGACAATATTATTTTAATTTTCCACGTAGCTGTGTGAATTGTGCATGACACAGAGTGAAAATAAAAATAAGTTCTTGATTTTATAAATAAATTCATCCATTAGATTTTCATCAATATGGTCAGTAGGTGGCATTGCATAATAAGGCTACTTCCGCTCAACTCCAAAATCAAATGTAAAGCTATAGAGATGTTTGTGCTACTTACTTTCATTTGTGACTTTCATTTGGTTGTGTTTATTTCAATAATGCATATATCACATCTTTTATCCGAAAATGCCTTTCAGGTGGCATACATAAAAATTAAATGCAATATTGAAATAAACTTAAAAGTCGTGAAACAAAAATATAGGAAAATTGAGAGGAATAAACTATTCAGCCAGTTAAAAGTACAGCAATTTAAAATCCCTGGGCAAATAAAAAGGTAATAAAAGCAAATAAAAAGGTTGAAGCCTGTCGCTAGAAAGTATACAGTGTTGATTGTTTGCTTTTCTTTAAAATCTTTGTATTATGAATATAAAAAGCTATATTTTATTCAAAATCCAGCCATTTCTATATGTAGAATACAATGCCTTTTCCCATATTTATGTAGAGACATCTGAAGTTCTGAAGGATTCAAATGATCAGCTGGTTATGTGCTAGCAATCCTGCCATTGACAGCTGTGTCCACAGATGACACACACTGTGTGTAGCTTTCAACAGCCACTATTTGTGTTAATTGAAATCACTATGTGGGACATAACTCTTGAAGACAAATATTCAGCTTCACCTCATAAATATAAAATGATTTCATATGTAGTTCCACATGTTTACTAGCTGTCCAATGTATTTTTTCAGTGGTGACTCCCAATTGATGGTGCAATGTTTTCCTTAAACATTTCATTACTGCCCGCTTCACTACCTTTTGGCACTAAAAGAAGACAATCATATTTTCCGTAGTTTTTAATGGACAGTCTTATTCTTGTTGCTTTTATTGTTTTGTGGTTTAAAAATTTTATTGTTGGCTACCTTGGAAGCTAACCATGGATTATTATTATTTTTTTAAAAGCTACTTCATGTAAATAAGATGCAGAATTTTTGTAGTTTGCAATTTCATTATATAGCTGTGTCTACAATCCTGTACATGCTCACCTGGGACTACCATTGAACTCAATGGGGCTTATTTCTGAGTAGGCATAAGATTGCCCTGTAGCAGAAGTAAAAACATAATTGAAACTCTTTTAGTAATAATTCACTAAAATGGAGCAAGGTCCTTGAAACAGTAGGAAAAATATGTTTTAAAATTAGCAGTTTGCATGACAGAACAGTATGGTTTGTTAGTCTTGTTGACAGATGTTCTATTTTAATGTCATGCAGTTATATAAGTAGGTTTTAACAAATGAGGTTTTTTACTCTAGGCCAGTAATTAAGTTATGGTTTGCAGAAGATGTGCCCATTTTGCATGGAGTACTAAATGATCTGAATAGTGTTCTTGTCCTTGGTTTGTGTATATGAAGCTGGCGCAGAACATTTGACAAGATAATAAATAAATATGTATTAATTTCCATTTTTATACCACCCCCCATCATATCAGTGTCACAGCATGGGTTACAAATGAAACATCAAGCTCATAGAAATAGAGAATTGTAGAGTTGGAAGGGATCCCAAGGGTCATCTAGTTCAACCCCCTGCAATGCAGGAATATCAACAAAAGCAACCATGACTGATGGCCATCCAACCTCTGCTTAAAAACCTCCAAGGAAAGAGAGTCCACCACCTTCCGAGGGGATCTGTTCCACTGTCAAAGAGCTTTTACCAGCAGAAAGTTTAGTCAGAATCTCCTTTCTTGTAACTTGAAGCCATTGGTTCGAGTCCTACCTTGTCTATTGAATTGTGTTTCTTTTTAAAACTGCACAATGTCTTGTTTTAAATGTGACAGCTCAAATAACTAACACTGTTTAGCTTGGTTTTGGGATATGCATGGATCTGGGCTATCAGGGAGCATTAAGATGTATTATAATTAAGTGATTATATGCTGTGAAGACCAGGCATCATCATCATCATAATCATCATCATCATCATCATTTATTTTTACCCCGCCCATCTGGCTGGGTTTCCCCAGCCACTTTGGGCGGCCTCCCAGAAAATATTAAAATACAATAGTCTATTAAACATTAAAAGCTTCCCTAAACAGGGCTGCCTTCAGGTGTCTTCTAAAAAGGCAGTGTTTTTGTCCTGCTTTTGTTTTCATATCTTGCCACAACAATGAATTTTAAACCTGTTTTCTTACAGGGATTTTTGGCTAATCAGAAGAGAGCAGAGAACTTGAAAGATCCTTCTGTATTACCCGATTTGTGCTTGAGTCATGCAAATCAATTGATGATTATGTTAACTAACCACCGAAAACTTTTAGATATTAAACAGAAATGTACTACTGCCAAACAAGAACTTGCAAATAATCTACAAGTCCGGCTGAAGTAAGTGATGCTGCTGCAGTGCTATACGCTCCTCAACCATGTTTTGTTTTGTTGTCACCAGATTGTCATGCATGCAACACTACTAAAATTATGTTTTTATGCAGGGATAGGAAACCTCCACTTCATAATTGTCAGTAACTAAATGGCCTGCTATGTCAAGCAGAAAGATCTGTTATCACCAATCTAAGTACTAGGTGCTAAGATTGGAGATATCTGTAAAGTTCGCTCATCTCTTTTTGGGTGGGGTGGGGGCTTGCTTTTAGTCTTGTGCAAGAAAGATATTTAGTTCATATCCGACAGTCAAACCTGAATTTAGATTTAATTTTGTTAATGTGACTTATTGGGACAGTTCTGGGATCTTGAACTTGGTATGCGATGCATAAATCAACTGTATGAGAAGCTAGTGTTTTGTTTTTGTATTTTTACCATGCCATTGAAGCTTGACCAATATGCCGTATAAGCAAATATAGATAGATTTGTAGAGCTGGTTTTTGGCATTCTGTATTATATTCTGGTTTTTGGCAGAAAATGAACAGAGAACTTCTCCTTTGTTTTCAAATGAGCAAATTGATACAATTCTGGAAACAGAAGTTCTGGTAGAAGCATCCAGTGGAGAAATTTCATTGCTGTTAACAATTCAGTATGCTACAGTGAAACTTTGTATTCCATAGGTGGTGCTGCTTTGTAATGCTTCATGCTGACCAGGATGGAGAGAAACTTCAAGCGTTGCTTCGTCTCGTAACAGAGCTGCTAGAAAGAGTGAAGATTGTAGAAAAGCTTAGTAATGTCCCTCAGATGTACTGCTTGGCTGTTGTTGAAGTTGTAAGGAGAAAGATGTTTGTAAAACACTACAGGGAGGTAAGCAACTTGAGTACAAAACCTAGATCTCAGATTGAAGACTTGAGGAGGGAACATGACTGTGTGTGTATGTATGTTTAATATAAATATGTATTTTTTCTTATAGTGGGCTGCTGCTTTAATAAAAGATGGGAAACATCTTTATGATGCAGAAAAGGCCAAAAGGGAATCTTTTGGGAAGTTATTTAGTAAGTATTTTCTCTCTCTCACTCTCATTCTTAAACCTGTAATATTGATATATACACCACTTTTATCTCTGAGTAATAATTAGGTCATACATTGTGGCTACCATGTAAAGGCTATTTTAAATTGCAGCATTTTGTGACTGTTTCCGTATGTTGAACTAGTTGTGTGCAGATAAAAACTAGATCATTTGGGGGGAGGGAGCTTTTGAAAACCACCACCATCCCTTCTCTTTCCTTTCTTCCCTTTTTCTTTATTGCTGTAGGCCAGGTGTGAGGAACCTGTGGTCCTCCATCTGTGGCTGAACTACAGCTTGCATCACTTTTGGTCATGCTTGCTGAGACAGATGAAAATTGTAGTTTAGCAACATGTGGAGGGCCAAAGATTCTTCACAGCTGCCCTTGGACCTTCTCTCCCACCCCTCACCTGAATTATACAATGAAATAACCTTTTATGTAAAAGTTGAAAAAAGGAGATCTATAGGTATACATGGAAAAAATAAAATGAAATTGCCCCTGTTAAATTTTCACAAATAACTTGCAATGTAGTTCTATATTGTTCCTCTTAATAGAGTCCTGAGAAAGAACTGTTAGGAAATGCATTGGGCTCACCCCCCCAAAAAAAAATCCTCCCCATTTTTGTTGTTGTTTGTTTTGTTGTGTGTACACACACACACACACACACACACACACACACATAGAGACATACATATACACATACATACACATATGTGAATAAATCAAGTAATATTTATTTCTCTGAACAGGGAAATCTTTTCTAAGAAATCGTTTGTTCAGGGGACTTGATGCCTGGCCCCCATCCTTTTGTGTGAGTATACCATGCTTTTTATTTTTAATGTAGACTTTTGGCTTTTCCCAAACACTTTGAGCAATTAGTATAATTTGAATTTAGAAGGAAGTGTGTAGCTACTTTTTGTATTAACTAGCTTGTGAAGAAGGGGGTATTTAGATTCTTGGTGGCATAGAATGATTACTCTGCCTCTTGATTTAATACTATACTTGCCCTAGAATAATTGCTCTGGTAGCATAGATTAGTGATCTTTCATCCAGTGTAACCATTTATGTGTATATTTTCATTTAAAAGTGTAGACAAATACTTCAGGCTTATAAATAGTCTCTACCCTGGCTGTCTGAGGCACAAAAGAAACAACCAGGTTGGGAAGCTTATCAAACATTGAATACTATTTTCTTAGAAATATCTGGTCATTTGTTTAACAAATTTATTTGTGGACAAGCTACTTTTGTAGATTTGTTTACAAGCCTCAGATGTTCCTACTTTCAGCTGCAGCTGTTTTAGTGATCAGGAGACATTCAAGCTCCCTGCACAGTCTTTCAACTGATAAATGGAAATTAAAATATATCTCAATGGTCTTTATTTATAGGCTTAAAAAAATATCTCAGTTGTCCAATCTATTTTGCTATTTATCGTGTTCTCATTGATTTGTTTTACATACAGACCCGAAAACCTCGCAGGTTTGATGGTGAACTTCCTGATATCTCATTATCCGATCTGCAATTTTTGCAGTCCTTTTGTCCTTCAGAAGTCCAACCATTACTCAGGTAAAATGAGTTCCTAAGCATGTGGGCAAGCAGAAAATAGATTGGGATCTACTGCTAGATCTCTGGGCAGTTTGTAGTAGATTGGCAGTGGTTCCCATAACAATAAACTAGTAAAATTGTAGTAAGATGGCTCAGAGAAAAAAATAATATCTGCCATAGCTAGCCTTGCTTTATAGTATTCATTTATTTCCTTTGGCCAGGTATTTGTATGGTTAGGTGACCTAGTTTTAGAGGCTGTTAGAATCCCTGATCTTTAGCAGTTAGGGTTCAAACTGAACACTTTTGTGGCAGCAGGACTTTTCATGATAGCACAGGATTGCCCTCCTTTGAATACCATATTTTTCGCCCTATAGGACGCACTTTTTCCCCTCCAAAAATGAAGGGGAAATGTGTGTGCGTCCTATGGGGCGAATGCAGGCTTTCACTGAAGCCTGGTGCACCGACCCCTCTCACTCTCCAGGCTTCAGGAAGCTCTGTGCAACCCTCGGGAGACCGGCTCCTGATGGCCGCGCAGAGGTGCCTGCAGTCCCGGGCTCAGCGCAGCTCTGTGTGGCCATCCGGAGCGGGGTGCAAACTCCCGCCCGGCTCCCGATGGCCGCGCAGAGGTGCCTGCAGTCCCGGGCTCAGCGCAGCTCTGTGCGGCCATCCGGAGCGGGGCGCAAACTCCCGCCCGGCTCCCGATGGCCGCGCAGAGGTGCCTGCAGTCCCGGGCTCAGCGCACTTCTCCCCATCGCCAGCCCCACAAGCTCGGGGGACAGCGGGGAGGTGGAGCGCGCCTTCCCGCTGTTCCCCGACCTGGTTCTTCCAGCCCCGCACCTGGGGGGGAAATAATTTTTTTTTCTTTATTTCCCCCCCCAAAAAACTAGGTGCATCCTATGGGCCGGTGCGTCCTATGGGGCGCAAAATACGGTAACTGGTAAGACAGAGACAGTTGTGAACTTTTAAACATCTTTCAAATGTCTGCCCAGGCTTTTGGGACTCTTGGCTCTTGATTTTTATGTATATTTTTGTTTCGTGCATGGTTTGGTTTTATCTGTGATAATACAGTTGTGTTTTGTCATTTTTAACTTAGAGTTTGGAAATTTTGTTGAATATTGTGTTGTTTTATGTAAATCATAGAATCATAGAACTGTAGAATTGGAAGGGATCACGAGGGTCATCTAGTCCAAACCCCTTGCAATGTTTGCCCAACGTGGGACTCAAACCCACAACCGCTAAACTACTTAAAGATTTTGAATATGCTAAGTGGTATATTTTTATATATAAATATTCTTAAATGCAGTTAACACTTGTAATCTGTTAATATCTGTTTAATGTAATCTGTGTTAATTACTCTGTATTTTTAAGGGTTCCTATACTTTGTGATTTCGAACCTCTCCACCAGCATGTACTTGCTCTACATAATCTGGTCAAAGCAGCACAAAGTTTGGATGAAATGTCACAGACCATTACAGATCTGCTGAATGAACAAAAGGTACCATTGTATTATATGTGTGACTTTATATATGGGTATATTGTTGAATGCCAATCCTAAACACAATTACTTAGAAATTAACTAAGTTGTGAAGTGAATCAGTGAGGAATATTTCTGAGAAATGTATTTTGTGAACAAGAGCAAAAAAAAGTTGCTTCTCAGTTCCTCGGCCTTTCCTGAGAGTACTCAACTTTCAGTAGATGTTTCTTGTGGAGTGTCTCTTCTCTCTACAAGAAGGCAAACTGCCTGCAGTTGGCAGCTTATATAAAGTATGGACATACTTTATATAATATCGCAATCAACTGCCCTAAAATTTTTGATTGAGAAACTAGGAGGGTTCGATCCTTTGAATCTTGGCATTTTGCCAAACAGACCTTTTTAAATGCTTTCCTATTTTTTTGTAAAGTTAACACAACTTATTGGACATACTGGAACAGTCAGCTAAAAGTTGCTTTCCCTAACCTCCAAAGATATTTTGTGGTGCTTAAATGTTGGGTTTCTGAAGTACCTAGGACCTCTTATTCACAACATTTATTTGAAGTAACATACTTAATCACAAAACGTTTCAGGTTTAAACATAGTTAAGTGTCAGTTATGTATTTCTGAAAGCATCTGTTGCAAATCCGTGAGCTTGTCACCTCATCAGGGGTCCGTCCTTTGATTGTTTATTACACCACCCTTCTTAGAAAAGTAACATATGGAGAGACTTAAATCAAGGAGAAAATTTGTAAAATATTTATCTTGGTGTTCTTTTTCAGTGCATTGTTATAGGGGCTGCTTCTGTTCATATTTCTGCTTCTCAGGATATTTTTTTTCTTGGGAATTTACTATTGATATTAATTGGAAAGCATTTTGCTACAAGCCTAAATTAGGCTTGCATGGCTAATACTGGAAATATTTTTCTTTAAAATACTAATTGAATGGAAAGAAAATGTGATACTGAAGCAGAATCCACTAGTTATAGTGTGCTTTTTCTGAACTCAGTCTTTGCACCTTGTTTTGTCAACACAGCATAAAAGCTGAATAAACAATTAATTTAAGGAGATACAGCTTGAAAGAAACTAAGGTAGAAATTACAGAGAGTGATCATGGCTAGATTTCATTCATATCTTTGTGTTATGTGATTCACTTATTAAATAAAATTGTACTTCCATAAATGCATGTAAACGGGCAAATCCCAGTAATTCAGAGTAATGTAATTTACCATCTGACAAGTATTTCAGGACCTCTATCATACACTAATTATAACCAGTTTGCTACATAATGTTCTAGCATAGGAGCAGGCAACCTTTGTTGTGGGTTGCATGCTGGTGGTCGATAGAGCCAGAGACAAAAATGTTCTAAATTAACTGATTCAGAATAAAGGCCGCCCTGCCACAAATAGCATTATGGCTACCTCAGATTAGAATTCCTAGTCTTCTACAAGTCTACTCAGAAGTAAACCCCACTGGTTTTGATGTTAGTTCTCAATACATATAAAAACATTTGTTTTTAGTACAACAAGCATATAGTTTCCAAGCCCTTTTTAGAAAGGAAGTAAAAATAATTCCCATTTTACTTCGGCATACTATGCACACACTTACACGCAGAACTAGAGCATAAGCATACCAATTTATTTTTGGACAGCTTGGAAGGGGGGTTATTTTCTCCAAAGCATGCAAGCAGGAAAAAAGTTGTTTAAAAATTCCTTTATGTTTTATCAGATAAAATACTGTCCGTTTCAAATATTCTGAAATGATATAAAAGTGGAGGGGGGGGGAAGAGAAATTAAACTAGGAATGAATGAAACAGAATGAAAGGAACTCTGATGGGATGCAAGAATGAGGCAGCTTCAGAAGGTGCATCAAATGAGATTGGGGTACTAATTTGCTGGTGTGCCCTGGATTAACCATGGTTTTACTTTCTGCTACCTATAGCTGCCAGTACGATGTCATAAGGTTTTATGAATTCCCCCTTCTCTAATGTGAAATCCTGCCACATGTATGGAGCCCACTCGAGGCCTATCTTAGGAATTGTTTATGTTTATGGAATGATAGTATTTTAACTCTGGCCTGTGTTTTATACTTTTAGGCTTCCAACAGTCAAGCCTCACCACAGTCTGTCACTACACCAAGGATGGAAAGTACAACAATTGCTACCTCTCCTAGAACTCCTCCACCACTCAGTCTTCACGGTCCTTTGTGCCCTCCTGTGTGCCCCCCAGGTCCTTTAGAAGAATTGTCTCCAGACAGTATTGATGCTCATACATTTGATTTTGAAACGATTGCCCACCCAAGCATTGAACAAGCCCTTAAGCAAGGGTCATTAGACTTGGACTCACTGGCAGAAAGTCCAGAATCTGATTTTATGTCAGCTGTTAATGAGTTCATAATAGAAGAAAACCTAACGTCACCGAATGTGATAAGTGATCCTCAAAGTCCAGAAATGATGGTGGAATCTCTCTATTCCTCAGTCATCAATGCAATTGACAGCAGGCGGATGCAAGACACAAATATATGTGCAAAAGCGGAAGCTTTAGAAAATTCTGCTATAAATGTTTATATGGAAAAATGTAGAGATGTTGCCGAGGAATCTCGGTTAAATTTAATAAACATAAAAGAAGACCTTTGTCATTTTAGAACATTTGTAGAAAAAGAGCAATGTGACCTTTCCAGTTCTTTAAAATGTACTTCAATAGAAATAAAGAATATTATAGAAAAAGTAAAATTTTCTCTTGAAAAAACTCTAAAAGATAAACACCAGAAAGAGCTGCAATTGGTAAAAACTGAATATGAAAGCAAAATGAATACTTTAGTTGAAGATGGTGAAGAGAACAAAAAAAAGATCACAAAATTAAAAGGTGACTTAAAAGGTCTTGAAGATGTTTTGCATGATAAAGATAATGAATTTGCAATAGTAAAGAATGAAAAGGAAGCTGTTGTGTTTTTACAAAATGAAAAGGAGCAAAAATTGCTTGAATTGGAAAGTCAAATGAAGAATCAGAGTTGTGAAATTAAAGAACTAAGAGAGTCACGTGAAAGGGTGATGGAGAGTTTGAAAAAACTTCATACTGAAAACGATGAAAAAATGCAGCTTCTGAGAGCAGAACTTCAGACTTTGGAGCAAGATCACTTAAAGGAACTGGAATCCAATCTACAGGAAAGACATACACAAGAATTTGATGAACTAATGGCTAAACACAATGATTGCTTAGAGGAGTTGAAAAAGGAGAATAAACTCCGACTTGAACAAATGCAAGAAACTCATGCTGCAAATGTCCATGAGAAAGCACAACAGATTGAGGAATTAAAGGTCAAGGTTTCTGAACTGTCTGACTTAAGATGCAAATTAGAGGTTGAACTTGCACTGAAAGAGGCAGAAACAGATGAAATGAAAATACTTTTAGAAGAAAACAAAACTCAACAGCAAGATAATCTAAAAAGTCTTATTGACAAGGAAACTGAAATGTTAAGAAAACAGATTGATAATTTGAACCATGTAATACAAATTAATAATGATGAATATCAGGTGGGTCTAGCAGAGCTAAGAACTTTAATGACAATTGAGAAAGATCAGTGCATTTCAGAATTAATTGATAGGCATGAAGAAGAAACAAATTTGCTTAGAACTGAATTAAGTAAAGTAACTTCTTTGCACCAACAAGCTCTTGAAGCAGAAAAAAGATTGGAAGAACAAATAACAGAGTTGCAAGGTAAGCTAGAATTGGAAGTCAGTGCCCTAGAAAAGCAAAAAGAAGAAAATTTGGTATTGTGTGAACAGCAAAAGAAATATGAAGCCACTATCAGTAAGTTTGCAGAAGAAAAAGAGCTACTATTAACTAATCATGAACAGGACAGGAAACTGCTTGTTCAAAAGCTCAACTGTGAAAAAGAAGATGCAGTCCGAAATGCCCTTAAAGAATTTGAATTGCAAAGGGAAGCTGTTGAAAAAGAACTTTTGGGGAAAATCCAGCAACTAGAGATGCAAGTTAATCAGAGGTACTGTATGAATTAAGTTGCCCTCTAATGCTTGAAATAAAATAAACCAACAGTGCTTAATATAATTTGTAGTCAGTTGAGTAAGTGCAGTCTCAAACTATAGAATGTTTTCTCTATTCTTGGATTAATGGTTCCTGCTCTTGCTCAGATGCATCTTGTCTCTTTAGATATGTTTATCCTTTCCCCTCTTTCAAAGCAGTCCCTAATTCCATCATTACATGACTTATGCTCAGGAGCACGTAGTTGTTTTTCTATTGAACTTCTGTATTCAAGCTAGTAAGTATACATTGTGATTGCAAAAATGCTGAGCTTTTCTGCTTCTTTTTAGATAGTTCAAGCTCCTGAGTTGAGGACTTCATTCAAACCTCCTTTTCACATCTTCCTGTTGGGTGTAGATTTTTTCTTTCTCTTTTTCATCTTCCAATGGATAGGTGGACCTAAATCAATCAATCACCCCATGAAATTGGTGTCCCTATGTTAAACACAAGCTGTGTGTAAGAAAGAATTTAAAAATTACCTTTCCCCTAGGGTAAGAAGTTGTTGGATAAGAGAAGCACCTTCACACAATCTTGCAGCATTAATCAAGCACAATGTGCATTATTTTAAAACTGTCACGTCTAAATTCAAAATTCTTTTTGATTGATAGGGCAGAATCCCTCATTTTTCTAGTAAAGGAATTCTCCCCATAGTGAAAGGGAACCTTTGGATCCAGCTCATAATGTTTATTGATCATGAAGGGGAGTTTGCACTGAATGCCAGATGGAAGTGATACATCTGTCCAAGCTGAGCAGACTGAATTCCTTAAGTGAATGATGGAAGAATATTTCTGTTTTTTAAGATCAGTCATTGACAGCATAATGTGATATTCATAACAATGTTTCTGGCTGCGCACAAATAGCTTTAAGAGTCACTGAGTTTTATCAATTGAGATTCTGGCTTTTTAAAATTTGATTTTAATGGGAAAGCAGCATGGGGGAGTTTTTAAAAATCAGTCTGGCAGTTTATCAGGGACAAAATACTACACAAAAGTGCTCTTAAAATATAACTATAGGGCTGCTTAAAAACCGTGGCACTTGTTTTTGTTCCTATTCACAGGACTCATTTGTTCCCCAGATACCTTTTAGGAATTAGGTTTTTTTAAAAAGATTTTGAAGCTGCCCTATCCAAGAGTGAAATTGAACTTTTGATTGATGGATGGAATTTGAACACTCCACATAGGCCTGGTTCTCCCTCTCCACCCCTCTTGTTACCCATAAAAGGAGACCAAAAACTTCTGGTTTAAATTTAAACAGTATCTTCGGAACTCTTAAGAACTGTAATTTGTTTTAAACTTTGGTTAATGAAAATAAGCGAAGGTTAAGCTGTGGCTTCTCAAGCTGTCATTTAAGCAAACTACCTTGATTTGAGTTTGGATGTCACAGGGAACCACTGTTATTTTAAAATGGAAAATTGTAGGGAGAGGAGAGTGTAGAAGCCCAAGCCTCAATACAGTCCATTTTTCAGCAACAAGCTGTGGTTTCTCGTTACTTCTAACAGAGCCATACAGTGAACTGTTCCTGAAGGGTTGCCATGTTAGTCAGATGGCGGACTCTGGTTCATGAAAACGAATACAACAGCAATATTAATAGTCTTTAAAGTGGCACAAAAATACGTTTGTTTACCTAAGCACAGTTCTAAGTACTGAACAGTGTTAAAATTGGAACATAAGATTCTAAGAACGTTAATAGTGTGCATAATTTGCATTCAAGGAACCCAGTAACAGACTTTTCCAGAATTAGATACCTGTTTACCAAAAATACTTCAGGCTTCATTTCCTACCTTTTGAAGCATATAGTAGCAAAATAATAGTGGTAACTGTTTCAGCTTTTCTATAAGTAAAGTGATTAGTGGAGCAGCTGATATTTTATTTCCGGGAGGCCTGAAGTGACTTTACGAAGATCACTGGACACCACAATGTCACAACCAAAACAAAACCCAGATATTTGAAAAACTTAAGATGCTGAAAATCTGGCAAATGTATTCACTTCTACAGTTCAGAAGTAGCCTGAAGTAAAATTATGTTCTAAACAGGTTCTTTGTACATATGACCTATGTTCTTTTCCTCAAATGAAATACCATGGGCCGTCTTCAAATGTGATGTGATATCGAGCTAAGTATTTATGCTTGTTATAATTACTAATTTTCAGTAGTGAAGATACGTTATTAAAAATTATGCAGTCTAATGATGTCCTATATTTATTTTATGGCTGTTACGCCATTTGTGATAGTCAGTGTATATAAATTAGACATTTATGCTCATGCATTGAATACATGCAGTGCTCATGCCTGAAGGGGCATTCCTCAGGAAATTTGAAAGCACTATGTACAATTGCTTACTTGCAACTGAAAGAGCTCTTCTGTTGTTCGCTTCATTAGATAGCATATAGAAGAGCAATTAAATATATGTCTTTAAGTAGTAATCAGGCTTGTTAAAGTTGATTACCTAGGGTGTGGGGATGTTGAGGGTCTAAATCCAGGCATGCTGATCTTCCAACACATGATCACTAGTAGCATGGTTATTATGTGGGCCGGGGGCGGGGGGCGGCGGCAGTGGAAGAAGGAGAAGAAGAAACAGAAGTGTATGCATAGGTGTGTTTTTTTTCCAGCCAAGTTTCTCTGGACAGAAGAATTTGCTTGCAATGAGTAAAAACATGGGCTACAAATCCAAGAAGCTGTTTTGGCTCATACAAGGGGCTTCTACTAGCTTAGTGGAAAACTCAACTGTTTTTTTCTTTAAACAGATGACCCACACAACCGAATGCAATACCACCGACTGCTTTTCAGTTTTTTATTAATGGGGGAATAGAGAGAAGGGCTTTGGAGGAAAATATTAATGAGTGAACATGTTCACATGCGATCAGGCTATTCCTCAGACTACAAGCCGTGTGTGGCTTTATAGGTTAAGTCAGCATTGTTGTTGTTGTTTTAATTGAGCTAGGGAAACTAGTTTAAACCAAAGAAATCTATTCTTCTCAATGGTCTTGGTGATCTATTTTGGAATAGTTGAGATCCTCCAAGTAGTCTTTAGAGGCAGCCACATGTACAACACCTTGTAGTTTACACACTGGATGATATTAGAGCTTGAATTACCCAGTCTTTGTCCACCAAGGAGTCCTGCCACTCACAACACTAGTGATGTGGGGTGGGTATTTTTCCATGGCAAAAAATGCCTGTTTTGTAAGTTTATTAACAATGAATTGATGCCAATTGAAAATAAATATTAGACAAGCTTGGCAGTTTCATTTTTTAGCTTTGTTTATGAAATACCAAAAAAACCCACACATCCACCAATGCAAAATTAGATCATATACCTAGGGCATACTTTGTTTTTTAAAATTTCAGATTACCCTAATTTTCATAGAAAATCTTACAATTCAGTGGTATCTGGACAACCCACAAAACTGTGCAGCAGCCTCAGGTACTTTGTACCACAGATGTTACAGGCTGTTAAGTAAGTGGCAGATCTTACAGCACTCCAAAGCTACAAAATGTGCCGTAAGGAAAAGTGTAACCCAGTCCAGCACAGGTGGACAATGTATTCTACTCCAAAGAAAATCTCACAGGCTTCCATCCACCCCACCTAACTGGTATGGACCCTGCACTCACAACCTTGACATTATTAGCCCAACAACTCTGACCTACTCAGCTAGCTAGACTTTGACTTCCTCCATCTCCACTCAAAGTATTTTCTTCCATGAGTCAATAGTTTGTTCAACATGAATAATGAAAAGTAAGTCTAAGATAGCTTTATTAATGATCAACTACTTAGTTGTTTTCAAGGTTCTTTAGCTAATACTTTATATGTACTTTATGTTGGTTTTAGTATGGATTTAAGTTTTTTCTGTTGACAGTGTAAGTCTTTTTGACCGTGTAAATTAAAGTATTATGGGTTAATGAAGTAAAGTTTTTTTAAAACCACAGCAGCAGCAGCAACAACAACAAACTAGCAATCCAAGACATTATCTACTCAAAACTGTTACATGCAGGTCAAGTCAGACATAATGATTTTCTTTAGGCAGCCTGCATTTTTCTCTTTGTGTGGAACTTTTCACATAGTGCAGTCTGGGCCATGGACTGCCACAGGAACTTTCTTCAGTGATCTTGTTAGTAGTTGAGCAAGCTTTTCCATCTAGGGTGAAATTTTATGCAGTCATCCTCTGTATAGACACAAAGTGGTGGTTGGCGGGGGGGGGGGGGAGATATGAAAATGTCTTGTTCTCCCTGCACATGGGCAACCCCATGCCTTTTAATCAGCAAAGAGCGAGTTCAGAGTCCAGGGGGATAGGATAGATGCAAGGGAGATTTTATTTTATATAAATCTGTATATATCTATCTATACTCTCTTTTACTCGGGGAGGGGGGGGATAACTCTCTGTTCTTTTGCTCCATTCCAAGAGTACACAACTTTAGACCACTTGATGCAGGAGTAATCTGGGGTGCTTGCTAGGGATAAAGGCAATCCAAAGCTTTTGGGGCATGGTTGAGTGGAGCCAGTGCCCCCATGGCAAAGATCCTTGAGTATCTGTCTGCTCACCACTCCTCTTGGCCAGAGGAAAATATTATTTGTCCCTATCCACAAGGATGTGCACCAACAAGATCAGGGACTAACATCACCAGGAAACCCTTGGAATACTTTGCTTAGAAGGTTAAAGCACTGTGCTCTGTAGAGATAGTCCAAGGCTATTGTTGGGGACAAATAGAGGAGGAAGAGAAGAAGCCAGGCTCAGGCAACTGTTCAGGTAAAGGCTAACCTATCGGCATACGTATATATAGTTGGGTGCAGGAATGCCTGGAGGAGGGGGGACAGGTGGGAATGTGGTGGGACAATACAGCTTCCAGTTTCTCTCATGTCTGCAACTGGGTGTGCTAAGCACTAGAAGCAAATAGTGGTGAGCCATTGTTTGGTTAGAGGGTCATATTAGGACTGAAAGGAGGCCGGTTCCAAGATCACTGGCAGATATTGAGTCCGTCTGATATACCTCACAGAGTTGTTATGAGGATGGAAAGGAACTATGCATGCTGGAGGAAGGGCAGGGTTTATTTTTAACCAGGATTCCTCGTTTGAACATAATGCTAGGCTGAGATTCTTTGAAAGTAACCTTGGCAGAAGTCCTGGAATTAGGAGAAAGGGGAGGCACATGGATTTTGTTTCTTATCTGGAAATAAACACAGAGTTGCAGCCTTATTTTGTAGATTATAGAACTTGTTTTTTTAAATCGAGCTTTATTATATTCCCAGGGGATTGTGGAAGGGATTTATTGGTACCAAAGTTTTAAAAGCAAAAGTAGTACATTTTCAGTTGTTGCGGATCAAGCCAGTTTGTGAGGCATGGCCACATCAAGGCATAATGTGCTTAGTGCCAAGTTGTTTCACCATATTTAAAATTCTAAACGTAATTTTCATTAGTTGAGTTTGTTGAATTGCATGGGAATTGTGTAATACCGGACTGAAGTGTTTCCACACTATCATCTCAGTAAGCTGAGAGTTTTTACTGTGTAATTGAAATGACTTGCTTAATACGTTACTTTACAAGTAGAATAATTTAGCTGTCTTAACATATGAGAAATGAATCGTGGAGAATATTCAAGAAAGACAGTATTGGAAGCAGATCCATTTCTTACAGAGTTTTCCCCATCTCTTTATTAAAACAAGAATATACATTGTGCTTCCTATGTGGCATGTCAAGACCATCGTGTAACGTGTCTGTAGCTGGATTATTTTGCATTTGAATAATGCTGGTGGTGTACCTGATTCACAAAGGCTCCCCTGCCTGCTATTGTCGTAGGATATATTTAGACAGCTGTTAATTTCTCTGACTTTAGAGCAGCAAATTGCTTGATAGTGAATTCCATCTTTGCAATCCCATTATACTGTAATATAGGGATTAATGCAAGATTAGATCGAAACTAAATTTATTGTTCCTCCTATAACCAAGATTTAGTTTCATTTTTAGGTGTTTTTTTTTACTCTCCTATCTTTCCACGAACACACCAATTATTTGCACAACATCTGAACTTCCTCCTGCAAAGTCAAGCAAAAGAAGGCGAACACACTGTGCGCTAAGAATCTTGCTGCTCTGTTTGTTAAAAAAAATAAGAAAGGCTTTTTCATACATTTATCAGGAATGTTTCCCCTTGACTAGTCAGAATTTTGAATTTCTTAACTAGGGAAACACCAGATAAAGTTATATTGTGGTTTAAGGTTTCCCTTTGTAGTTTGTTCGTAGCATCCTGGGCTGGTCATTTAAATTTTCAATGTTTTCCTTTTCCTAGTTCGGTTGAATCATCTGCATCAAGCTTAGTTGCAGAACTTCAAGAAAAACTTCAGGAAGAAAAAGTGAAGTTTTTGGAGCAGCTTGAAGAACATGAGAAAAGAAAAAATGAGGAAATGCAAAACATTCGAACATCACTCACTGCAGAACAGCAGGTAGACGAGGCTGTTTCAAGATTTCAGATTAGATACACTTGTGAGGATGCTTTAAAGTAACTGGGAGCTCCTTTGTTTTTCACAGCCTTCTTAGAAATTCTCATTCCTTAAAATTCCAGGACCTTTTGATGGTTTCCTTATGTCTTTAGCTTGCAAAGGGATTATTGCCTAGCATTTCAGGCTAGTACTGGTTTTCTGACGTGTCACATACAGTCACTGCTTGTTCTTATACAATCCCTGTTCATTTGAGTGGAGTTTTCACTGGGGTCCCAAACAACTTCCATTGCATGTTTGGCAATTGTGCCACTACATCTGAAAGATGCTGGCACAAGGAGACAAATGAGCAGCTTGGACAACATCAAAATTGGATGCATTCTGGGCTTATGCTTCTAAAAAGTAAAATCAATCAATCAGTCAATCACTATTAATTGTTATTTCCAAAAAAGATTTTTACCCTGCTTAGTCAAAGAAGGCTCAAAAAGCAGCTTACAAATTTTGATGATGATAAGACAGTCCCTACAGCTCACAGTTTTAATGAGGTATAGCACAAAAAAGAAAAGGAACGGGGAAGGAGGTGGGGAAAGCAAGCTGGGACTGAAAAATACGAAGAAGCAGAGCCAAAAGTTCCCAGTCTTTCAGTCTTACCTCTCTCCCTCTCCTGTACCTGATGGAATGGCTTCTGATAGATGGCTGCTGAGGGAGGAGGCCAAAGCTGGTACGTTGTAGCCTCTTCAGAGATTGAAAAGTTACAGTACCTATTTATTTTTTTCATGTCATGTATATGTACATTGTATTGCTTAAAATAATGCTGATTCTGTATTTTCAGACAACGTTTAACACTGTTCTAACAAGAGAAAAAATGAAAAAGGAGAACATAATAAATGATCTTAGTGACAAATTAAAAGCAATAATACAGCAGCAAGAAAGGGATAAGGGTAAGCATGTGCTACAAAATGTTTTGTACATGTAGTTTGAATCCAATTAATTGCTCTGCAAAATATCAGAATATTGAATATTACTTGTTGGCTGCCTTTTTCTCAGATCTGATTGAAAGTCTTTCTGAAGACCGAGCCTGTTTACTCGAAGAGAAGAAGAAACTTGAAGAAGAGGTTAATAAGCTGAGAAGTAGCAATTTTGTTCCACCAGCCTGTTTACCGCCTCCTTCAGAACCTCCCGGAGCTTGTGCAGCTGATTTTACAGCAGAAACTGAGCGATTAACTTCAGATACCACAGAAGAAGGAAAAACGGATTCCACACTGGAGACAAGCATGATGGCTGTAAAGTTAGTACACAAGTATCGAAATAGATATGTATCTGAATGTCAGTAGGCATTGTTTGGAATTTTTTATTCTTATTTGAAATGTTTGAAAATGCCCCCCACTCGGCTGTCCTGTGAAGCAACTCAAATCTGAGGTGAATAGGCTGTGGGTGCAAGGCTTTCGGACAACCTGGAATTCTTGGGGGAATTTGTATTTATATTTTGATCTGATTTGATACATTTTTACATCTCCTCCAGAGACAGACAGAGAGAGGAGTATATAGTTTTGTGAATGACATCTTTATTTCTCAGGTTTCTTAGGTTATCAACATTCTCCTTTTACTTCCAGTTACAGTATTTATTTTGCTGTGAGGGATAAAGCACATCCATCTACATCCTGTTTGGCTTTGGCAGCAGGTGACTTTGGTGCAAAGTTGAACAGAAAACAATATTCTTTTTTAAATGCCTCAAATAATTTTCTTTATTCATAACTCTAACCCATGCACCATCCTTCTATAATTTTTGCAGAGGCCTTATATAGTGGCACATTTTCAAATTTTTTGGTCATATTCATGGAAGTTGTTTGCAAAAGTACATAGGAAATCATTGGACCTCTTTTTAGAAAACAAAAACACCTCATACTTTAAAGGGTCCAAAATCTGAGAGCTTCATTCCCTCAGAAGTGACTACTGTGCCTATAAATATCATACAATTCTGTCTTAAAAAATGAAAATTTAGACTATACTGTAGATGTCATAGGAATTGTTGGTTTTTACCCTATGTCTTGGATCCAGAGTGAAACATCATGTCAGTACAAGCCACTGACCCAAAGCAACCCCCTCTTCAAACCAACCAGGAAGGTCCAGAATATTTCTTCTGGACACAGCCCTACTATATTAGCACATGGAAGTGTTTTCCATGAACTTTGTTATCATGTGAAAAATAAAAAGAACTCACATGGTATAAAGACTCTTCCACCTCAAAAATGGTTGCTGAACTGCCTTTGAAAATCCAAAAGAGCACAGTAGAAATACCATGCATGTTTTCCAAGGCATTGTGATTAATTAATCTGCTTGGATTCTTCGCTCTTTTTGTCACCTGCTATTTAGGAGCGGGGAATATACAGCATGTCAGATACACTGGAGACACAATGTAGCATGTCAAGATGAATATAATATGGCTTATCTTCATTTTCTTGTGACATATTAATCTACTAAAACCCTCTATTTGACATATTTTCTCATTAATGAAGCTGCGCATCTTGTTAACCGTTTCTTATTTTATTTTTAGTGAAAATGTGCAGATTTTGTCAGAGGAAAAACAGAGGATAATGATGTTAGAAAAAGTGAGTAGTTTTTTGCTCTGGTTACCTATTTATTGCCTTCAAGAGAGATTAGGAACCTCTGTGTTCTGCTTCATGTATTAATGTATTGTCATACATTTGCTGAAATAAGGTGGACTGGAACCACATGGGAGCTAACAAAAGCAAAAGTCCTAACTTCTTCTCGTCCACTGTGATTGCCTTTTTTCTTATGCATACTGCTACTGGTTATTTAGGGAACTGGTTATTTAGGGAACGTTTGCCTGTATTCAGGTTGTTGTAAGAATGTTTGTAAGGGCTATCTATATCTATTGTAGTGCTAAGCGACTTGTTCCCTTAGTGCAAGGAACTCTACTCCCCTCCACCCTAAATCTGTTCTGGGAGTTTATCCCAGATTTGGGAAGGGTGTGGGTTGTGCTCAGGCAGAGGAGACAGTTCCATTGCGCAAGCTTATATCCTTCTGTTAATGGAGTGAGTGCATTGGATGCCACCCTTGAACCCTCTGATTTTAAGATACTTGAAGATGCTTATTTGGAAGAAAGACAAATTCATCCATTGGCCCTATCCAGAGTCGTACACACACAGCAGCTTTAATGATGCTGAATTCTATTTTGGATGCATGATGAGCCTGAGTTGCTATTTGACATAGCACAAACAGTTCCCAAAGCACTGACAAAAACTGTGTGTGCAGTTCGAAGTGCTAGATGCAGAGATCCAGCCCAGGAACTGCATGTGCAGCACTTGTTTGCACATGTGGATCCTGGTCAGCCAGAGATATGCTCACAGCAGCATAACCTTTGCTCACAGGAGCCTGTTGTGTTTTTGTTTTTTGCACAAGCCTACCTTGCTACCATGTTTGCTGTTTATCGAGCAAACCTGTTACTGTGTTATGTGTAATCTGTAAGATCTGTAAGTTAATTGTCCTATTAATTTTTAACTAATGTAAATTAATTGTCCCATTCTTAAATCAAGTGAGTTCTAAAGTTTTACTTTGACAAGTGTCTCTTTAAGTATTACTGAGTAGTAACACAACTGTTACTGCTGCTATTCTGCAACTGGATGACTGAAAGCATTTCCTCATTTTAGGTGCTTAGAACTATTGGATCAGAGTCAATACTACCCTTTTATATTAGGACATTTAAACTGATTCCTGTTAAACTAGAGACATAGGAATTATTGTAGTTGCTTTGGCTTTCCTATTAATACACATTTCATCGTTTACTGAGAAAACTCAGGGATGTAACACATGCTTTGTATCCAGAAAGCCCCAGGTTTAATCCCTAACACCTGTAGTTAAAAAGATGTCAAACAATGACTGGTTATAGATGTGTTGACTGGTTTTTAAACTTGTAATACAGATCTCGCCTACCCAGCCATATGCCAGTAAAAAAGGGAAGATGAATACTTGGATCTCACCCACCTCCAGTCAAAGCTGGTGTGGTGATGGTGGGGGAGCTCATCTATAGAGATGACTTGTTTTCAAATTCCTCCCCTGCCCTCAGACTGCAGGTCATAAATTGCGGTTGGGACGTGTCTTGGAAGCTCGGACACCATGGGCCAAATTAATTTAACCGCATCAAAGCTTTGAGAATTTCTTCTATCATGCAACTTCTTTGCTAGCCAATGAGAGAAAATTTAATTTTCATGAAATCTAAGCTAAATTTCCAAGTTATGTAACTACTCGGAAGAAAAATGATTCAGCTATGAACACCATTATTTGAGTTCATACTTAATAGATGGCACAGCTGGTATGAATTTCTGTTCCAGTAGGCCAAATCTGATCTGAAACATATTCAAACCCACTAAAGTATTTGGCACAATAAATAAGTGTGGGTTATACACTTAGCTGCACACACACACTTACATCTATAGTGTTTTTAAAAAATTGAGCCTCTAGCAACACAATCCTAAACCTGCTTACTCAGACTGTAAGTCGTACTGAGATAAATGAGCCATCCTCTCCCACATAAGTATAGAATTGCAGGCTTAAAATATTGAAAACATGCATATGAAGTTATAAAACTAATATATGTAAAACTATATTTAAACAAAATGTTGAAAGGTTTGTGTTATGCTGTTTTATAGACGTTGCAGTTGAAAGAGGAGGAAAATAAGAGGCTTAATCAAAGATTGGTAAGCATATAACAAAATTATGTGTTTAGAAAACAAATGTGGTTAAACAGGTAGGTTTTTGCCACTCTTGGCTTGTGGCAATGAGACTTAACTCAAGAGGGTATGCCTTTATAATACAGCGTTAAGCCAGGCTACATTTGGATGTGATGATCCTTGTAATTGAGAGGCCCAAGAAAACTGTTGAGGAGTAAAAAATAATAATTAAACCAATACTTTCAAAGTGGTGGGGAGAGCAAATATTCCTCTTTTTTGTTTATTTGATTTCTCTCTTTTTAAAAAAATCTAAGATATTTCAGAATTTGAGGATGGAGTAGTTTTTCAAAGAAACAAGGGAAATTATTCATATGTATGTTCTTTTGTGTGTGTGTATTGCTTGAAAATAAACTTAGCAATATATAGTGAGGAACAACCTTGCCAGAAGCAGTTCCATGGGAGTTGCTAGGAGCTGATCTAGTCTAAGATGTATGATCTAGAATTGTGATGCATTAGTCTAGAAGCATGATGTCATAACAGGAGACATGGGGTTCTGGAACTCATAGCACTCATGAAAGCTGCTGGTATTGCAGCACTACGAGTGTTTATTAGATTTATTTATGTTTCTGTTTGTGATTTGTGTAAAGGACTTTGACTAGGTATGCAGTGGTGTTCATTTAGGGATGGTTGGCAGTAGACTTGATTGATTAAAGGTTATTTCAAGAAGGCTTGTCCCTCATTGCTGAACTTCCGCACAGTGTACAGCCATCAAGGAGTGCTGGGAGTATAGAGAACATGCCTTAGAACGGGTAACCTGCATAGCACCCTCCAGATGTAGTCGGTCAGGGATGATGGGTGTTGTAGTCAGTCAGCCATGTTGCCTGGGACTGATGGAAATGATAGTGCAGCAAAATCAGGAGGAAACCACATTGGCTACCCCTGCTATTGATGCATCCCCAAAGGCTCTGCAAAACAGAGCATATTCAGCAGGCAAGCTGGAGTCTTGCCTGGTTTCTTTAATGAGATTTTGTAACCACTTCATAGGAATAGAAGTATTATAGAAGTTTTCTAATTACTTTGAAAATAAGAATCAGTGATATAGTAATAGTTTTGCATAATAATGATGCAGTTTTCACTGGAGGTATTTGTCACTGGCATTCTAAAATACTATTGGTTGATCCAACTTAGTACTACAGTAATCATCCCAACAGCACAACAGAATGTTCTCTCCTTCTCTTCCCCTTGTATACCCCCTAAATCTGATCTGAGGCTCTCATAACCCTCTGGAGCAGATTTGAGGATGGTGCAGGCCATGGGACAGGGTGAGTCCCATTGTGTTAATGGTAATCCTTGTGTGAGTGCATTTATTGAGTTGACTACCATCCTACATAATCCTATCCACTTTTACTTGAAAAGTACGTCTCACTGATTTAAATAACTTGCTTCTAAATGTTTGTAGCCAAACTTTCATTTAATGGCAAACTTTACTTTTTCCCCTCATGTGAAGTCTAATATATCTTATATTGTGTTCAGCTGAACACTAACAAAGCTACAAGAGAGCATTTGGCAGTTGGATGTATGATTTAAAGACCATTTTTTGTTAGTAACAGAAGTTTCACAAGGGGAAAACAGTAACTTAATTATTTCACAAGTAAGCACGAATAATCTAAAGCTAGTTTTTGCCAGTCCATGGGTAATTATAGCTGCTACTTGGTTTTGAAGCAACTAATGTAGCAGCCAAGAGCATGACTGCATTTTTTCTTGATACTCCCAAGATTTTATCAGCAAATGCTTCCTTTCATTTACGTCATCATAAAGAAGAGATGTGAAGTACATTCTCTCAGCTCGGATGTACTGTGAGAGCAAGGATTTAAGTTCAGTTTTCCATTGATTGAGTGTTATTTTAGGACCCTCTTAGTATCTACGAGCTGCGGTAAGGAAACAGACCTCTTTCATCTAGAGTCACTGGAGCATGTCATTTTTGTGACTGAGACTATGAAAAACCCTGAGTTTAAATGTCATAAAATAAAGGAAAGATTCTAAAAGGTGTGGGGTGACCGGACAAAAGCATATATATTCAGCTTTTATGTTCCATATGGACAAAAAGTTACACTGTCAACATAGCAAAACACAAATTGGTTGCCTCTTAATAGCCCTATCGAGCATGTAGATCTTTGAATCCAGGCCAATATGTTGGAGAGAAAGCCTAACAGAGAAAACAGATGATAAAAGTAATTATTTTATATATTGAGACTTAAGACCAGATCTGGTGATGAGGCATAGTTTTTAACAGCCTTGTTTAAAATTGTGATGAAATAAGAAAGCATGTTAATAAACTTATTGTTGGTGGTTAGACCTGAAAATGCCATGAAAGATTTTTACAATACAGTGGTACCTCGGGTTAAGTACTTAATTCATTCCGGGGGTCTGTACTTAACCTGAAACTGTTCTTAACCTGAAGCACCACTTTAGCTAATGGGGCCTCCTGCTGCCGCCACGCCGCCAGAGCACGATTTCTGTTCTCATCCTGAAGCAAAGTTCTTAACCTGAAGCACTATTTCTGGGTTAGAGGAGTCTGTAACCTGAAGCGTATGTAACCCGAGGTACCACTGTATTAAAAAAGTGATTTCCCCCCATTACTTTCTGTTTGTTTCTTTGAAATGGTTGTGCACAGAATGGTCCTTGGAAAAATTATACTTTTCCACACAATATAAAACTTCTCTTAAATGATTTTGATGCGTCACTGAATATGGCTTTCAGTGTTTGATGTAAGTGTCCATGCTCTTTTGGTAGCGATGTGGATGCTGAGCATAATTTGGTCAGCTTTTGAAGGTTTTCTTTCCCTTTTGGTGTGTGGGGAATAGTCCTGTTGCAGTCTTTTCATAGGCATCTGGTGAGAACAGCATACTGAGCTAGTTGGACCTTTGGTTTGATACAGCAGGACTCTTGTTATATTCTTGCCCATTTGACTCAGAGTGAAGTACTCACTCCAAGCCCAAACAATAGGGGTGAGCAACCTTTTTGACCCCAAGGGGCTGTAGGCAGGATTGGTAGTAAGTTGAGGACTGCGTGCTTACATTCATGTTTGTGTGTGCACATACATGCCCTACTGCCACACACATCCTCACACAGAAACCTTGTCACAACCTTCCCGTCACACACTTTCTTATACAAGTAATAGTAAAAAGGAACTTGCTGCCGCCGCCACCATCATCCCAGTGCATTCACACATTTTTGTTTCATTACTGAGCCTCTGTCCTCATTGCCTTCCTTTTTAAAATTGAGTTTCACAGTGGCAGGTCAGTACAGTACCAGCTATTCAGTTAATGCCATTCAAAGTTAAATTCAGAACAGGTGAATGATCATGATCATCACCATATGCAGACTCCCAGTTGGAACTCCTGAGTGTAGCTGATCCCTGCAAAAAATCTAGCACCAGTGCAAGATGTGCTTTTGGCAGGAATCTTTGTGGCCCCACTCATCTGTCAAAAATAGCCTGTGGAGAGTGAACCAGTTTTGCATCCAGGCTATTGGTTAAAGAGCTCTCCGGCTATGGTCCTGATAAAGAGCATTCCTTTAAAGCTTTCATTCATACTGGAAGGAAATCCTTCACTGGTGTCTTGTGTGTCCCTAGGCAGTCTAATAAGTGGTAATAGAATTATGTTACAATACTGACCCTATAGCCAGAATATGTTGCACAAACCCTTCAGAAAAGGATAATAATAATGCTTTCTCATTTTTGCAGATGTCTCAAAGCATGTCTTCGGTGTCTCTAAGACATTCTGAGAAAATTGCAATCAGAGAGTAAGTATGGGTGTTGATAATGGTCAAGGATTTTTTTTTCTGTTTTATTGAATTCTTTTTTTAAAAAAATCCTCCTCTGGTAAATGCTTTTTAAAGTTCTAATTGAGTGCAGACTGAAAACAGTATATCTGAAAAGCTATTGAGTGAGTCAATTCTCTGCCTTGGTTTATTTAATTGTTCCTATTGTTTTAGGCAAGCATCTAATTGCCCCAGCCCACCCTGGGTGTCTTTTTGAAAAAATGCATTGTTTGTGTTGGGATAGATAATATCCTAGAATTATACTGCCAAATACAAAAAACCTGGTTGATGTCATTCAGGAGATACTGGTCTGCATCCTTAAGGGAGTACTCTCCAGTAGAGGTTCCCCACACACAACTGTGCAACTGAAAGTGAGGATTTGAACCTGTCTTCCCACTTCTACTCCGATACTACCTACTGCACAGCACTGGCTGTATTTTTTAGAACAACAGCCCACTACATATGTACTTTTGTTTTACAAAGTCATATAGAAACGCATAATGGGATGCAATTTGTTTTATAAAGTTGTCCTGATCCTCTGGCCCAAAGGAGGGCTTGTGGAACTGGTCAGATGCAGGGATACCAAAGAAGGATGTCAAAAACGCCAGAGTGACCAGTTCTGGTGCTTTATCTAAAAAAAGGTGGGGACTTGCAGCCAACCAGCCTGCCAGGTCTCCCAGCCTTTACAAAAGTGGGATGGACATCGCAGTAAGGAGGTGGCTTGTCCGCACCCAAGGAGACATGTATACATCCTTTATGCACAAAGCAACATATGTGAGTTTACCCAGAAGCTCCCATCACACCTGACCAATGAGGCCATAGGTGGCAACTGTCCAAAGCTTCTCCCTTCTCTGGGCCTAGAGCCCAGCACCCCAAAGCCCACAGATAAGCACAGCATCAAAGCAAGCCAGTTAGCATATATCAAAGCAAGTGAATATAAACATCTATGAGCTCATTCGTGCAACAACTGCCAATTAGTTTGGGGTTATCTTGACTACCAAGACAGTGTCTGCAGGCCTTCCAGAACATTTCACCTTTGGTTCAACACAAAAGTCCCTGATTTTGGCAACATGTCCATACCTAGCTGGTGAAAGCAAAAACTACATAATGCCTTAAAAGCATATCACGGCACCAAAGTGTGTAAAGGGCATAATGACTCAGGCTGCAATCTTGTGGTCCCTTTCCTAGGAGGAAGCCCACTGAACTTAGTAGGGCTTTCCTCTGAGTAAACAAAAATACAATAGTGCTGCTTTTTTTCTGAGGCTTGTATTTTTTTTATGCAGTTTTCAGGTTGGCGATTTGGTTCTCATTATTTTGGATGAACGTCATGACAACTATGTATTATTTACTGTTAGCCCAACTTTGTATTTCTTACACTCGGAATCTCTTGCTGCACTGGATCTCAAACCAGGTGAGTGTGGTAAGTGTCATAACTCTGGAGAGAATGTTCTTCTGGAGCATTTAAATATTCAGTCTTGCAATAATCTGCTTAAAATTTATGTTTGAACATGTGAATGCATGTATTACATATACATGTTGGGGCCAGTATATATATAACAGCTGGCTAGTGCATGATTATTATCATGTCTTATGAATAATGTGAACATGAGGAGGGAATTGTGCACATTTTCCAGTCAATATAGATACTTTCCAGCAGGACTTATTGAATGCTTACAAGTTGATAGTATTTTGTACATATATTTTCCATGCATTATCTCCAAAGGTATTTGAGTGGGGCATTGTATACAACCTAACTGCATTTTTTACATTTTCTGGGCAATGTGCACATTTGCCAGCCATTATGCATATGTACCAAGAAACATACCCATTGTTTCTCTCTGTAGTACAGAGGTAGGCAATCCGTTGCTGCATACTACATGCAGCCCACTGTTTTAATTTTATGCAGCTTGTGATGTCCTCTCCTGCCGATGAACTGAGCAGTGGGAGAATGAGGGTGTAGCCGCAGTCTTTTTTCTCCTGCTACTTAAGTGTTCTGTGCAGATTAGCTGAGCAACATTGAGGATGGAGGTTTAATGCTTTGCTTCTCTAATGAGTAGTAGGGAAGCAATATCTATGGGTGGGTGGATTTTAGGAAGGTGGCATGAAAAAGATGAAGAATCAAAGTATGCCCCACTAATTAATGTCCATGTAGCTTTAAAGTTGTCTAAGGAAGTTTCCTATGGTGCTCGGTTGGGCAACTGAAGTGTAGCAGAGATGAAGGTGAGCTGTCTGCCTGCTTTTATCTTCTATTGTTCCTTGGTGAGAGTAGATCCCTCTTAACACACCATACAATAAACCAATTTCTTCTGTCAGTATGTCACAAAAAGATGACAATATGCCACTATACACATTTTTGCCATTATACACTTTTTCAAATTCAAATGCAAGATTATGAGTTTAGAATATTGTACCAATTTGAGGTAACATTTTGTATATGGAAGTTTTTTATTCCTTCAGATAGTTAAAATTAAGATTATAATGTGCCTGCTAGATAAATGGCCATGGACAATTTTGTGCCTAGAGTAGTTTGGATATTATCATGCCACAAGTAATAAATATTCTCCTTCCAGCTTCAGGAGCATCTCGAAGACCCTGGGTGTTGGGAAAAGTGATGGAAAAGGAATATTGTCAGGCAAAAAAGGTAAGGATAGATAATCAGTTTCAGCATGGCTCATTGAAAATAGTTGCAAGAGTTCCTTTTAGTTAAGAGGGAACTTTACCCTCATTCTTACTCATAACTCTGTTTTAAACTCAGTTGTAGGAATAATATTTAAAGTACCATATTTTTCAGTCTGTAAGATGCCCCATATTTTGGGGGAATCAGATTTGAGAAAATGGGGGGAGATGTATCTATGTATAAGACGCCCCCTAATTTTTGACATTATCTTTTAGGGAAAAATCCTAGTCTTATACACAGAAAAATTAAGTAATTGTTAACTTTTTAATTCATCCCTCACATATCATAGCCATCAGCACTACTATTTTTTATGAAAGTGTTCTGGATCAACTTCTTAAGTCTAAAAGCTTGGCTAACCATGAAATACTTTAAAGTATCTTGGGGCAAGTACTTCAGTAATTTGCTGAGCTGCTGCCAATAGCTAATCAAGAAGCAAGTGCTTTGAGGTGTCACAAAATTACATTTTTTTACCCATAGCCCACTAGATGGTGAAATAGTAATTTACCTCAAAAGGAGATTCAGTTTCACTTAATGTACATTAAATATCTTAGTCTGTTAAATTGGGTAGATTTAGTTGCATTGCCCATTCACAGAGAATTTCTGCATATTTGACCATTTGCACCTTAAAGATACTGAGCTTGTCAAAGGATGCTTGATTTATATTTAGCTAGTGTTATTGTGCTTGCATGAATTAGTGAACCATTATTGTGAATAAAACAAGCTGTGATTATGGACTGGGCTGTGTGTGGAGAAATGTCATGCAGCTGCCAGCTCAACCACGTCTGCAAAGAAATGAGATGAAAAAGTATTGTTTTCTGAGATGAAAACGTATTGTTTTCTGACTAGCTCTGGTATATTTCAAATAATTCTTTGCATATGTGTGTTTTTGTTTTTGCTTAGGCACAAAACAGATTTAAAGTTCCTTTGGGTACAAAATTCTACAGAGTAAAAGCAGTGCCATGGAACAAGAAAGTATAACACACGATGGAAACTCCTCATCACCATTTTTTTCTGGCCTGGCCTTCAGTGCTCATTCACCACTCCCAAGTAGCAGGCCATCATCTTTTTATACTGAGGTCCCATGACAATGCTCCATAATGTAATACTGTTTCCCCCCTCCCTTCTTCCTTTTTAATGTGTTACATTTTAGAAACAAGGATTTCATCACAACGTCTGGCCTAACTGTTCCAATTTTTTTACCTGGATAACTTTAGAAGTGTGGACCAAATGAGTTCATTTTCTGAAAGGGCAAATCTTACATATCATGGCTTATTTACTAGCCATGCTAATAGCCTGTTAAATATACATTAGTTCCTATTAGGTGTTAAATGTTAGCTACCATTATTACCAGCATATGACCTTTTGTGAAATCATTATCAAAATACTTGCACTCTTTAACAGATTCTTTATAATATGTATAAATTCATCAGTTATTTAAAGAGGAGTGTTCATTGCATGCAGATAATCATAAGTTTCTTCAACATGAGTTTGCCTCAGTAGATGAAAAGGTAACTACTGCAACTGGTGTTACAAAGCCCTTTAATAGAAGAGAGAGAGAAGAAAAATGTTGGACTGATACGAAACAGCAATACATAAAGCTTTTTCAAAGGATTGATCACAGAATTTTGAAGGGAAGCAGATGTGCTCTTGTATTTAAAAGAAGCACCTGAACCTTCCCAATCCACAGAGAAGTCTTGTATTAATCTATTTAGAAAAATCATATTGATAAAATTATATTTCATGGCTGAGGTTCAGGAAAAAAAGAATCCATTGTACATTAACTATGAAAAGGTCATTGAAGTAACAAATTATTGTATTGTAAAAGACACGTAGAATTTTCAAACAATAAAGATTTGAACCTGTAAATGTCTAAATGGTCTGCATGCTTTTTAAATGCCCGTGTGGTACGACAGTTCTATCCAAGACTGTTCTTGTAAATTTTAAATTTAAATGTATAAGATAATTTGTATGAATATAAAATGCCTGTATTATTTCAAAAGAAACAGCATTCTGAAACTTTCAGTGTATGGCAAAGCTCATAATTCTAATGAGAGTTCATGTTTGCACAGCAAAACATCTAAGTAAAATGGTTCAAATAAATTGCTTGGGACAAGGCAAAATAGTGTTTGTTCTAACCATTTTTCTTCATGCAGAGTATCTTCCTAACTCTTCTTTGTAATTCCATAGAAGAATGATTGTAGAATTCAATCTACATTTAATGTCCAAGAGTTTCAAAACTTCTGGAAATCTTGTGAACTGTATGTAACCCTGAGCTCTTTGCTCTGGATATAGGGGCACTATAAATAGACACTTGATGACAAAGATACACATTACTGCACTTTTTCTTTTCACCACGCAGAAGTAAAATAAGCAAAAATAGCAGTGGCCCATTTCAAATGTTATCATTCCAGTCTGATGAACTGGGGGTCCGTGGGCAGGAACAAGCTGTTTCCTTGCATCCCTGGTTTCAGTGAAGATTTTTGTTGTTTCTTAAGCCCCCAGTTTCCGATGACACCCAAACTGAGTGACTGTGACTTGAGAGCTCTTGCCGAGCTATGATATGAAGCCAGGGTCAGATCCTATCTTCATACCTTGGTTTGTGGAGATATTTCCTTTTGCATGTTCTGTGTAAGGCAGGCATGTCCAAAGTCTGTTTTGGGGGCCTAATCTGGCCCCCATGGCAGTATATGTCCTGGGGTAAAATTCTAAAAAAAAAAGCTGAACAATTTTGGGGTAAACATTTTTTTAAAAGCGCAACAACTGTGGTCGGCCCTCACGCATGTTCACTTTGGTCCTCTCTGGAAAAAAGTTTGATCCTCTTTGAAAAAGTTTGGGCACCCCTGGACTGTAAGGTCTCAAAGTGGCGGGTGGGCTGGTATTTTGTGTGGGGAGGGAAACTGTAACTAAAGTTGGACTTCCTCCTTGCAAAAAACCCTGTTAATTCAGGACACTGAAAGTGAGAAGGAAGAAGCGGGTGCCACTTTGTGCATCCACCTATCAGCACTTCTCATAACATTTGAAGCCACTCCTCTTTTAAATTACTCAGAACGGAACGTTCTGTAAATGCTCATCCTGGGAAGAAGTTGTTCCTTGCTTACACCAGGCTCTCAGAAGAGCTATAAGAATATTAAGTCATAGATTTAGAATATAAACACCCAGTGATGGCCTTGGCTTTTCAGGAATATTTGTCATCTGTTTCATTTTATAATCTTTATGTGTGTCTAAAATGGAAATTCTGTCAAACAAAACCCTAACATATTCAGTAATGATTCTGAACAGTCAGCTGAAAAATATGCAGTTTACATACTTGTTGGATATCGCAGCCTGACTAGCTTATGGAAGTATGAGTGCTATGCACTGCCACCTTGCTTCATCTAACTCCACAACAACAAACGTCATCTATATCTTCGTAATTTGAATAAACAGCACACGCACAGTGAGGAGGTGGTACTAAATCACTCAGTGGTTCCTTTCCATTTCTCATGTGCCATTTATATACGTTTTTCATTTCCGTTAGCTTCTTGTATCAGTCCCTGATGAGAAAGTGCTAGTATGCACTCTCTTGATCATAGAAACAAATGTAGCTAATGAACTGTCCTTCATTAATGCTTTTCATTGCAGAACAGCAGTAGCAGAAAATGATTTTATATACTTGGGGTCTTGGCTCAGTGGTAGAGCAAAAGCTCTCTGGTTCAGTCTCTGGCATCTCCAGGAAGAGCTAGGAATATCCCGTCTAAAATTCTGGAGAACTACTGACTGTCATTGTGCACAATACTGAGCTCGTTGGGCCAATGTCTGTACAGTGGTACTTTGGGTTACAGACTGTTCAGGTTACAGACTCTGCTAACCCAGAAATAGTACCTTGGGTTAAGAACTTTGCTTCAGGATGAGAACAGAAATCGTGCTACAGCGGCAGCAGGAGGCCCAATTAGCTAAAGTGGTATCTCAGGTTAAGAACAGTTTCAGGTTAAGAACGGACCTCCAGACGAATTAAGTTCTTAACCTGAGGGACCACTGTATAAGACATCTTTAGGGTGTAACATGTGAAAGCAAGCTGTAGTGAGAAACCATGTTGTTCCTTTGCAGTCTGTATAGTACATTTTGGCAGTTTCATGAGCAAGCCTAGTAGCCAAGTCAGGAGTCATATCATTATAGTGTCAAGGTAAAGAAAGGGAGCCGATGAAGTCGAGCGAGGAGCCAGAATGACTGAAGTTAAGATTGCTGCGCACATCACAGCTGCAAGACAAAGGCTGCTTCACATCACGTAGCATTTGTCTCTGTGGTAAACTGTTGGCATGTAACGGCTCACCACAGAAAATCAAGGCCATTTTGAAAAGGAGACAATCTGTTCTATGTTGTGTCTCAAGCTCCAGGAGAAAGTACACTAGCAGCACCCATGAACAAAATCCAGCCCATGTATCGCATAAAAGCAAATGAAAATCATTAACTTATGCTATTGAACCCGTAGAATTTTCTCACCAACAGAATGCAAATAGCACTGTTAAGTGTCACAAGGAATACATTCCCTTGCATACACTACCTTTAAAGCCTCAGCTCTGAAATAAAAATTCATGCCCGTAAGGGTACAGTAGCTATTCTCATGTCACACTAATAGCCTCACAGTAAACTACAAACTATTTTAAATGCTTGGGGTAGTAGAAGTGCTGGTCTGCCTGTGTGCCATTTCTATAGTGACATATGAAGGGCTATAACTTGCCAGTCATACCATTGCAGAGTTGGAAGGGATCCCAATGGCCATCTAGTCTAACCCCCAGCAATGCAAGAATCTCAACCAGATCATACATGATAGATGGCCATCCAGTCTCTGCTTATAAACCTCCAAGGAAAGAGTCTGCTGTCTCATACCGAGAGTACGTGAACTGGAGCAATGGGGCAGGGGAGGAGAGAATTTGATTGTACTGTTATTCAGATGCTAATCAATGCATGGAACGCTGGTGGCGCTGTGGTCTAAACCACAGAGCCTAGGGCTTGCCTATCAGAAGGTCGGTGGTTCGAATCCCCATGACGGAGTGAGCTCCCATTGCTCGGTCCATGCTCCTGCCACCTAGCAATTCGAAAGCATGTCAAAGTGCAAGTAGATAAATAGGTACCACTCTGGCGGGAAAATAAATGGTGTTTCCGTGCACTGCTGCCGCATGACCCAGAAGTTGTACACATGACCCGGAAGCTATATCTGGAAGGCTCCCTCAGCCAGTAAAGCGAGATGAATGCTGCAACCCCAGAGTCATCCGTGACTGGGCCTAACAGTCAGGGGTCCCTTTACCTTTAATCTGCACAACGAAATCAGCTCTAAATTCATCCAGGAGACAGCAGCTTCCTGCAAAGGGTGGGAACTTAAGAGAAATGCTCTGATTGAAGTTGCCATTAGCTTAACCTCATTATTCCACACTCACATGTAGGCACAACCAGTTTGTGCTTACTGATGGCTATTAAATTTGTTACAAGCAGACGAGTTTTAACAAGTGAGTTACATTCCCTTTATTGTCACAGACAGAAGTCAGGGAGCAGCTCAGACAGAAGTCTGTCTTCAATGCCATCCTTTTGGGAAGTGGTTGATGGCGTAGGACTTGGTGCAGACTGGGTAGCGGTTTTGGTGGATCTTGTAGAAAAGGTGGGCTGACTTGTGGAGGCCTTCCTTTGCAAACAAATAGGCATGCAATTTCTAAGTGCACGGGCATGCACTTTTTTGGCACAGTGCTTCTTTGAACTGAAACACTGACTAAAAAACCCCACAAAAAGTTTGTAACATACAAGACATATTTACAAGGCTGTATATAAAAGAAACTTACAGCTTGATATGGCAGGGTATGTCCAGATTCAGGCAGCCCTATCAGGACCATGGATAGCTCCCAGTGAGTTTTGCTGCCTATAGCCCTTCCTCCCACTCTTCATTGTGGGTAATAAAGGGATGTTGCCATAGCAGAGATGCTGCTTGAAGCCTTGTGAAAGCTGGAAAG